TTTGCCTAAACATATTAAAAATCCCCATAGACATACACTATTTATCTTTGTCTATTATTTCCTTAGTTCTTTAAAAACTATCTGAGAAGAAAGAAAATTGCTATGAGACCTTTCCTTTTGCTTCAAGATGACAATAGAAATTATGAGAAGCATTTGAATTTCCATCAATTCAACATTAATCTCAAAAACTTCAATGAGTAATGGAATTACAGTGGATTCAAATCAGCATAATTGAGAGGAATCTAGTCTTATGCATTATAACGTAGGCTGACTTTTTTTCTTTTCCTTAAGTAATAAATTAGGGCTCATCCAATTACTAGAGGAGAATACTGAGTATTTTCCTCTTTCAGAGAAGAATGGCAGGTAAACTTGCACATAATTCCAATCAGTAGTGGTTAATAAAAATTTGGTATGAGAAAGTCATTCAGTGTCTCTTCAGCAAATATCTGGAATTGATTGCTAATTCTAATACCAAGTGAAACATTCCCAAATACTGTTTGAGTGAAAATATCAGGCTATATTGAGCAGAATTATTAGACTGTCCATCATTATGTCCACAGCTGAGTTTATTACATTTTGTGTAGGTTTGTTATGTAGCATTTAGCTGGCAGATTGCCTTAGGCAGTATTGGGAATGGTCTCCATATTGCAATAGCCACTTAACCTCCACAGTACAGTACTGTACAGTACAGAAGTAAGACACTGACACACTGGGTGGAAGACAAAAGACTGGAATTATTTCTGGATGTAGGAGTGCCAAATGTTAAAAATGTAATTGTTTGAACTTCACCTCATAATAAACACTCTGAATTTTTTTTCTGTCTCACATGTATAACTTATTGAGTGAATTGTAGTTATTAAAGAATAGCTATTAAGTGCTTAAGAGAAAATAATATACTGACATAAACTGTGTGTACAAGAGAACATAAAACATATGTGTGCATGTGGAAATAATTACTTTCACTGAAATTTATATCATACAAAAATATTGCTCAGTTATTGTGCATGTGCCAATAATTTCACTAAAAGGCTGCTCACAGCTTTCAGGAAAAGCATAAATATATTGGTCTCTGTACAGGCTTTACATTTTTTCCTGAACATTTTTAATTAAATTATCTCTATATATGTAATGTTATAATTATATGTCGTAAAATATCACCCAGTGGGATGTGGCCTAGGTAGTCTGTTATTCACATAGGTGAATGAAATCTTAAGTAAGACCACACATGCAAATGCAGAGATACGGGTCCTTAAAGTAACTACTTAACTCACTTCCTTAAAATCAGCATTCAAAGTCACGATGTGGCAACTTATAAGAACAATTTCATGCATACTAATCTCAAGTGCATGGACATATCACACTGTGCTACTTCGCATCCTGTTTTTTTCGTTGACTAAGTCAAGGCATTAACCAGTGTGTGCTGCCCAGGAAGACTTCAAAATTTAGTTGGAAGAAAAAATTTCCACATAAAATCTCTAAGAAGTAAGAAGTGTTAGCCCTTGCATGCTTTTTATTATTATTATTATTATTATTTTAAATGAAATTAAAGTGTAATGCATTGTCCTGTTGTTTTCCCACCAGTTCCAGTTAGTCTCAGTTCAGTTTGTGTCAATTCAGCAGATATATTCCCACGAGCAAAAGGGAGCAGAAGGAGAGTCAGGAATATCTATCTCAAAATCGAAAAAATCTCATTTCTAGACAAACTCTTACTTGTATATATTTACTGTACCTACAGTGATACTTGTATCTGTAGCAAGTAGAATATAGCCTCTCCTCCTGATCTTACAGAAGCATTGTACAGTACAAATTGTAGGCTGAACTCATTGCACTGAACATTAGAATGTGAAATCAGTCATCTGGCAAAATCATCTCAGGACTAGATGCATGAAATTCTAAGGAAACTATTTAAACCCTTCAGATGGAAACCCTAACCAAGGTTTTTTTTTTACAGTACTTGCAGGCACTGACATTAAAGATGCAGCAATTCTGTGTGCCCACGTCATCCAGAGGTTGTAAGTATACTTACACAGGAGTAGGTCGGATAGCAGACTGCAGTTCCTGGGAGCCTACGCAAAATCTTAACAATGCAAAACTTGTGACATGCAGCAACAGAAGAAAATCTGTGTTTATTCATAATAAAGCCTTTTCTTCTTCTATCCCTGAAAGAAAATAAGTAAAAAGAAAGGAAAAAGAAAGAAAAGAAGGAAAAAAAGACTACAACACAATTAAAAATTGTATGAAAAAATTTGAAACTATTCAAAAATACGAATATTTCCTGCAGCAGGTGAACCTTCCTGAAATAGCAGTGCCTTTGGCTTCCTCTTGCAGATGCACGCTGAAGTTCAGAAGCAAATAAAGGTATGACCAGAGGCCCTTGCACCACTGCACATGTGCATATGGAGGAATGAGTGATTTCTTAAATGTCATACAGATGGCAGGAGTGAAGACAAATCATTCTACCCCAGTTGTCTCTCCATTGCAGATCTGAAGAGCATACAGCCAGAATCTGCATGTCCTCAAAAATCCTTGACATACACGCTTACAAAAAATACTTCTTTCTTAAATGCTTCTTACACACCAGTGCATGATTGTAGCTTCTTAAACATAAATAGGAAAAGAAATACCTTTTCAGATATATGTTACCTTTTTGATACTTAATAAATTTCTAAATAGTAAAGTAGAAAATCATTTCAGCTTTTGATGATGATAGAGTATTCCAGATGTGGCTGGAGCCCATGTATCCATTCCATGGTCTTCACTAAAGCTCATTTCTGCAGCTTGCATCACAGGTTCTTCTCTTGTGAATTAAAATCATTTAATTTTTGAAAATACTGCCCTGTGTTACTGGGTACTGATTATCTTGTTTAATCAGCATCCAAATGCTGCAGGCGCAGGATAAATTCTAGGAGCTTTTCTAAATGTTATGATTTGATGAGGGATTTCACTCCCAAGTAGGAGTATATCAGCAGGTTAGCTAGTGGCTTTGTTAATCTTTATCCTGATATGGTTCAGAAATTGTCTTAGATTAGGAAAAAGCATACCAACTGTTCTTGAATGTGCAGCTTCCACACTAATCTATCTACTTGTCTGCTTGGCTCTACTCCTTTGGTGTCTTCATTCAGGTCCTTGGGCACCTCTGTATGAGCCCTATAGACAATATATGGTCTAGCAATGCTATTCTTGAGAACTCACAAAAACCTGTGTACATTTTCTCTCAATTTATCTGGTTCATAGTAATCCCAAGTGAAATTATATATCAGAGATCCTTTTGAAAATTTGAGCTCTAAGTGGTATTGATTCATGCCATAGAGATGGATTATGGGTAAATCAATAGGAAATAACATTTCTTATCTTAAATTGCATCAAATTAAATGAAAATGTCTGCCTCCCTAGTCTTGATGTCTCCTTTTCTTTCTCACCATTTTACTCTTTCCTTCTTTCTCCTTTTCCTCCTCTCCTTGCTTTTCAGTATAGACATTAAATTGTTAACCTTTCATTCCCCTAGTTTGTCAAAATGAAGTCATTCCCTTATTTCTGTAAAATACTAATTAACACTCTATATCATATATATTCTCCCATTACAAGTCCTTGTCATCCAGTGGTTACACTACAAAGCTTCACTTGCACAAAATTTGGCTCTTTTGAAAGCTCCATAGGGACAGTGTCGACGTTACATCTCCCTTGTTGAATTTTGGGATCTGCTACCCCCTTTTACTTTGCACAAGAAGACAAGGATAGATGACTACTTGGTTAAAGGGGTTTAGTATGGGTGTCTGGTTTCATAAACCACAGTTTATGTGAATAAATTCATTCACACGGCAGAACTGGTATCTTGCTTATCTACAAGAATCTCCTGATGCTCAAGATCAGCAGTGGTTAGTGGGCCTGCTGCAGAATCTTCAGCAATTTCAAGTACCTTGTTCTTTATTTATATATGAGAGTTCATTCTGTGTCAATTGTAGATAAGACTGAATACATTTATGGATAACAAAAATTTGCACTAGGGTTGAATATGAAATGCTAGGCAAAACATTCATCTTCTTGGAAGAATATTTATAAAGCTTTTTTTTTCATGATCCTGTTAAATAGTTGTGATAACAAATCAATTTAGAATGTGAAACATCTGCCTTTATCTTCATCTTGAACTTCATCTGATTAAGTAATGAAAATGTTTGAACTCCTGCAGCTATGAATCACTAAGTGTAATGGCTGTGCTCATTCTGTAAATGCATACGCTGCTGATTCACCTTACAGACAATATTTCTTAGCCACACTATAATTGCAAGCCATTTTCAACTGCACTTCTGGGAGCTACAGGAAATGTTTAACATGTAAATCTCAGTAATACCTATGATGCAGTCACGAAGCCCAGTTGTTTTACTGCTCTGATAGATCCCTAAGTCACACCAGGTCTGGCTTCTCTTGCATAGAGCTGTTTGTCCCAGATAGGGAACAGCTCATCATTACAGAGATACCTGGGTTGTATGGAAGGCCATTTCTAATGCTCTGGCTAGAAATAATTTTGGTGTAAGCAATCTGTGTAAAACTGCTGCCAACATATGCCCATTGCTTAACAATTCTAATTTCAGCCAATGTTATTGCAAGCACAGCTATTTGAAATCATTTAAGAGCAAGTGCCATTTTCCAAACTATGTTCCTCTCCAAAGAGAAGACAAATGAATCACTGGTGGTAATTAACAAGACTTATGTTAATTAAATTCTACTTTGGCTGTAACTCATAGAGTCCCTGCTGCAAATAGAAGTTTGTTCAACAGCTGTACCTGCAGCAAACAACATCATAGTTTAATAAATGCTCTGAATTAAAGTTTTTGTTGCAAAAGCACCTGCCTAACCCCTGAGTACTCTAACAGTTCATTGAGCAACAACGAGGTTTTAAATATAATGTCTCTTTTCTTTTCTTTTGCAGTCCTTAGTCATACAAAATATTGAGATAAAACAATCCATACAGGCTGTATGGAGAGAGTTCTTTTTCCAACCTGTTATTAACAGACATGTGCATCCATAATTTTATTTATTTGCACAATTATGTTACAGGAACAGATCTTAAAAACAAGTGTAAAATACCTTGAATATTTTCTTATTCTCAATTTCACTTCTGATTCCACAGAAACAGATGAAAAGCATAAAATTATTTTCATTTGTAGCTTTTCATAGAAGTATAGGTGTATTATGAATCTGATTGAGTCTACAGACACTTTTTGGCTACATGTGCATTTCTTATCAGTCATTACAGAGATCAAGAACATTTTAAAAAGACTGAAATTGTTTTTTGGGGTGAATTTTTGACTTTGAACTTCCAGATTACAGTCTGTACAGATTGTTTGCAACATTTTTGTATATAACAGAGAACAAATTAAAATGAAATCAGACATAAGAAAATATACTTTAACCTAAATAAATTTTAAACAGCTGAAAGAGAGTATTTAACTTAAAGTACATGAGTCAAACTTCCTGCTGCTTTCAAAAGAAATATAATAATGCACTGCTAAAAGTGTCAGGAAAGAAAACGTCAGCATAAGGTTCAGCAAGCGCAGGAGTTCTTATGTTTTTGTTGCCTTTGTTTTTGTACCCATTAAATGTAAATTAATGTGTGTTTTATCAAGTTGATTTCTGGAAAATTACCAACCAAAAAGCAACAACAAAACAAAACAACACCAGGACCTTTCATAGACAGTAGCTTCTTCCAGAGGTTGGATAACTCCAGGTCATAGAGTGAACATGAGAGGTGGCATTCACAAAGACATATAATACAAAAAAATGACTGTGGTCTTAAATGTAGCAGCTGTCACTAGTGATGGCCAACAGTTTTGGGGGGGATAACAAGGAAGAGATCCTTCCTGTACAAGGTTAAAAATGGACAAAATTGAAAATGCTGATGGTGGACTGTGAACTTCAGGATATTACAAATGGCTTCCTTGTTTCCTTCTCTTCTTGGACTAGCCAAGAAGTAGAGCTACAAAAGAACAGGCATCTTGGGAATGTTTAACTTCAAGATGAACACAATTGCTGCAGTCACCATTAGCAACAAAATGCTCGTATTTTGTATGTTGAACAGTATCCTTCAGAGGAGACTTCTGGAAAACGTGAATGGTTTCTGAAACTATAACATTCTTTACAGATTAAAAGATTTAATTTTCACAATCCTTTCCAAGGCAGCTAATTTCAGTTTTCATCAACACTTTCCAGAAACGAACTTTGGCAGTAGACTTGACAGCCAAAGCAGACCAAAGTACTCTCTATGAAACCCTTCTGCCTCTTCACCCTCATCTTCCTTCTCAAGGTGCTGAGGTTTTGTCTCTTTGAAGCCTCTGATACAGTCACTGTTAAAAAACAAGACCTGAAGTAAACAGATGAGGGCTGCAGTATTGCTCAGAAATATCCTGCAAGTTAGCTCTGGATCAATAAATGCTCTTGTAACACTGTGATGCTCTACCAACGTATCTTCTCAGCTGGGCCAATTAGCTTATCCAGATTGCTCTGTTAATGCTTCTATACAGCTTTTGGTGCCCAAGGAAAGTTGAATATACTTCTAAGACACTGCATTATGTTGTACAGACATATTCAAAGATGAAAAATAACAAAATATATGAGAGAAAAGAATAAAAAGGGATAAAGGCACATTGTGCTTTCAAACGCCATGATCAATATCACTCAACAGAACAAAAACTCAAGAAACATAGTCTTCCATTGTCAAATGCACCATGCTTTTCAAACAGATGAATGACTGCATTAGTCAATAGAACTATGAACAGAGGCAGTTTGGAAGGGAGAAAACACTTTGAACTGGTTGAATCAGGTTGAGGACAAGGACTTTCAGAGTTTTTTTTTAAGAAATAGGTTCTGATTTTTATAAGAAAACAAACTTTTTTATTATATAGGAGCTGTAGATTTCTACAGAAAAATACTGTTAATTCCACACCTCTAGAATTGAAATGAAAGTTCATCTTTCCCCCTAAAATGCCCAGACTGTGGCAACTGGGATTTCTCAATGAGCTAAATTGCTTTTCTCTCATTTCTCTTTTTCACTCCAAGTAGGAAGGAAATTACTCTTCATATGGAACAATTTTTCCATGAGAATTAAGCAGTGGATAGAAAACACTTTCCACTTCCCAAAACCATGTATTATAATGAAAGATCACTTGAATTGAGTTTTAAAATGTTACTGTCAAATAATTCAGTGCCCAGTGATGCAAGTTCTTACTCATTCTATCAATCTAATCTGCTTTCTTGAGTGAATACATTTGTAGGATTTAGGACGTGACCTGTAAGTTGAGAAGTAAGCTTTTAATTGACATAAAGGAGCTCAGATGTTTTAATGATCATTCTGCAGGCAAACTTCTTCTTTCTTTTCTTAAAGAGGTCCATTGTGTGATTTGATAAAGATCTGCAAAGAAATGTTTTTCTTTATGAAGATTTTGCCACTCAAAAATTAAATACTACTTTATTCCATATAGCACTTAGCATTTTCAAGATATTCATTTTTATGCAATAATGAGTTAGATTTTGGCAGAGTAATATCTGGGTTAGAGCAGCTATTATGCATTGAATTATAGATCGGATGTATTCTTGGATAATACAGACTCTCCCCTTTAAACATTATTTCAATCCATCTGAAATTCATTCAAAAACGCTTTTGAATCCATTATTTCCGTCTACACATTAGAGAGAGAAAATTTTATCATATATTTCATAAAAAGATTAACATTCCTTGAAGTCCATTTTCTTTTCATCCTAATGCTATGAAAATCTTAATTATGGGACTTAAGCCTCACTTCCTTTTTTCTTAGTGTGATGTTTATAGTAATAATAATGCATGATGCCCACATTTTAATTAAAATATTTTGTATTTTAGTAACACCTTCCACTGAAATATATCACTTCCACATTTTAAGATCAATATTACTATTGTCAAAGTATATAAATATAAAAAAAGACTTTCGAGAACTAATCTGTGCAGAAAAAACCCAGCACTCACACATACGGAAATCTCACCCCTACAAAACACAAACAAAAGCTGCAAACCCACCAACACAGAAACAGAAATCAAACCAATTTGACTGGTTTGATCAAACCAGTTCTTTGCTTTGAGTTAAAATGCTTTCACATATTTATATATATATATATATATATATATATATATATGCACTCATTATTATCATCCTAGGTCCACCTATATATATATATGAAGAAGTGACAAAAGAAAGATACTTCATATGATCTTACATCTGAAAAGGAATTTGTTAACCTCTCTCCTGTACAGAACACATTCTGTTTTTGTTTTGGGATGAACTAATTTGTTTGGTTTAAATTTCATTTTATGGATGAAATTCCTAACTGCACTACTTCCTTAATCTGTTCATGAAAGTTATAAGAAGATTTGGAAATACAAATCGATCGCTAAACAAAAAAAATGTTTAAGTGTTCACTAGATTTTCCTGTATCTTATGCAGTTCAAAGCAATGCAGCAAAGGGAATTCTTCCACTTTTATAAAATTAATAGATGCTTAAGATTCACTTAAAATTATGTTTTGATTCTGGATATTATTCCTTCTGTCAACAATGGCATGCAGTGAGTTGACCTGAAATGTTTAAGGGTATGGCTACTTAAATCTTTTGTTTGAAAGTGTTGGATAACTGAACACAGCCTGGAAAATCTTACATTGGAATTAATATTGACATTAAAAGATGTGAGACAAGAAAAATCTCAGGGCAGTAACAAAAATCCCAAATAAAGCTACAAAAATTTTCTACAATAATTTTTTAACCATACCATGCTTTTTTCTCATTCTCATTCATAGAAAGTAGTAATAATTCTCCTTCTCAAATTCCTTTTGAACAGGACATCAAGTGAACACGTAAAAATATCAGGATATCTGTTTGTCAAGCAACAACAAAAATTTCAGCCTATGGACTAAATAAAGACAAAGTTCCATTCAGCACCTACTCATATTGTCCAGTGACCACATAAATTAAGGAACACATATGTTTTCAAACATTTGATTTATCAAGTATATAACTCTAATATATATCTTTTCTTCCTTCAGGCTACACAGTGCTTTTCCTGCAATTATTTATTTTTTTAAACTACAGCACAGTTATTTCTCTTGGCTTGCTGTTTCTAGTTGTGGACTCTCATAATTTTTCCATACTACTAAAGAAAATTCTGTCTCCAACAAGAATGGTAATAAACTTACAAACATCTCTTCTTTGAACCATAAAACTTGCAACCAAAAGATGCAGGTCAAGTGTGTCGTTCATAGTCTACACATCCATATAGAAACTGAACAGAAGAATAGAATAGATTTATAAAGGAAAATGTAAAGAAAGGTTCAACACATGACCAACATGTAAGTGACAGAATTATCTATCTAAAAAATTGAGGCATTATAAGTAGGTCCTGATGTTAATTCCACTTGGGAGTGCTGGCAGGATCAGGATCTGAAATAATTCCTGCTTTTCTAAGCCTGCTTACATTTTATCTCTCTATATTTCTGTGTTCTACCTATTATTGAATTATTATACTGCTTATTAATTGTTAATTTACATGACAAGTATATCAAATTAACTGCAAACCCTCTAGCTAAAATTCACACCTGGCATTCCAGTCTTTCTTTGATGATTTCAGGATGTAATTTTTTTCCCAATGGGTCCATATATTTTTTTTTTAAAATCAGTTTACCTGCAGTCTTATTTCCCAATTTATCATTCTGGCCACAGAAGGTATATTCATTAATAAGAGTTAGATTAAACCCACAGTAGCAGCAAAGCGTCCATGCATATTCAAACATCACAAACACTCTGAGTAGAAGCGTTTCCTCTGACCACACTGTGTTTAGCACAAATTAAATTCAAATCACAGTGTGTTCATGACCTCTAGAAAAAAAAAAAAAAAAAGAACTAGGAGAGATGTAGGATTGGTTTTGAAATAGCTGCCTAATAAATTGTAGTTTAATGAAGAAATGCATAGCTCAAATATTTATATGGCCATACTATTCAGACATATGTATATCATGGGGTGAGTTGTGTGTCAGTAAGAAATAGTCTACTGGTCCCCTGAGAAACATAAATTACAGAGCCATAGGAGAAGAAAAAGCTAATGAAACTGGACAAGTAATGGACATACAGATGTAAGCACGAGAGCTTTGAAGTGTACTTCTGTAATCTGATAATCTGAAATGTCTTCACAGTGAAAAGGGAAGGAAAGAGGTTAATAAAGGTATCTGCTTAGGTGAAATAGACATCATAAAAAGAGGAAAAGAGGCATAAAAAAGCTAAGACAAAATGAGATATAGTGTAGATTTTAAAAGGCTGAGAGAGGAATTTGGCACTTTTTTTTTTTTTTTTTTTTTTGTAATGCTCTCTTTTTTGTAATGCTGAAGATATTCTTACCTCATCCTAAGGATGCTATTTATCTATACATCTGATTTTCTGCATGTGGACTCTTTCACTTCAGGAACATTGTCCATGTGAAAAGCAGATTTGGTTACTCATCTGGAATTTCCAGATGTTCAGAAGCAGTGATGAAGGAGAAGCTTTGGCTAGGCTTCAGACATCTGGAAATCCCACACGGGCAGATATTACACAGGCATAAATTAATAGCACAAATGTTTCAAAGTTTAATTGGTCCTGGATGTACTGAACTCACTGGAAAATGTTGTCTGTTACATTCAAGTTAACTTATGTTTAAGAAATATGAAGAGATATGAAAGTACTAGTCCTGTATTGAAGGGTTCTGACTGAGGTAATCATAGGAATGTATAAACTTCATAGGGAGTATGTGGAATTCTGATGAGCAAGAAAAAGCACAGATAAATCTGTTTGTCAATGCTACAATTCACTGTACTGCAGAATGAACTGGATATCTAAAATATGGATGAGGAATGGGGCCAGTATCCTGTTGTTATTAAAGTCAGAGGACTAGCTGCTGCCCAAGGGACTAGTCTCTAGTGCTGCTGAACTCAAAAGAAAAAATCATCTATTTCTGTGAGTGCTGGATTGGATTTCAGAGATGAACAAGGAAGATAGGTGAGCTGAGGAAAGCCATACTTTTGTTTGTGATTGCCCTGAGCATCTGTACTCATCAGTGCTGTCAGTATATTAAGGAGAACTTTAAACATTTTCCACCAACAGTGGAACACTCGCAAATGCTAATTTTTGATTAGTTGGGATGAAAAGTGGGGAGGATGGGGAAGGTGAGAACAAAAGGAGAGCAATAATCAATTGCCACCTGGTATCCACAAGCAGAAAAAAATTAGACACAAAGAAAGACGGACAATCAATGGTAAGACACCTTGCTGAAGAACAGAGAAAATGAGCAGAGAGCAAGTTATGTGCAGTTGGTAGAAGCAAGCTAGGTGAAAGAGAAGAAATCTTTCAGTGGATGAGATAGAAACAGCACTCAGCCAAGTAAAGGAGTACACGTTCTCCAAGCCCAAAATGTTCTTGGCAGACCTGGGGCAAGCCACCTGTTTCCTTTTTCTTTCTCTCTCTGTTCTTCTCAAGTTTCCTTGCTATCAAGCATTGATTTTTGTCAACATAAGAACTTGTTAACACAGAGAGTTGTTCATTGAACAAATATTTCATTTTCAATAAACAACATGTGCTATACACACATATATATGCATACATATGTGTGTATATATATAGCTTACAAATTACATACATACAGAGAGTTACAAATACAAATACAAATATTTGTAACCTAATTTGTTTCTTACTTGTTAACCTAGAAGCTCTAGAATGTAAAGAATAAATGCATAGGAAATGTGAAAATTGCATTTCAAAGGGTTGATTACCTATTAGGAGGGATGACTGGATTTTTCTCCTACAATTGTTTCAGGTTTAGGGCAGCCAAGACAAGGTGAAGAATCATGTACATTCACCCAAGTATTTTATGTGCCATTAGGTCTCTTAGAAAGGTAATTGTAATTTGCTTCCTTTGCTATTGGTAGAAATGCTCAGAGAAGCAAGATTTAGAAATTCAGGAATGCTTTTTAGAAGATGTGAGAATTACAGAGGTGAGTAATTTCAAACTTCTGACAAGAAAACCCAAAATAAAAAAAATATTTCTTTATCTTGACTGCAACATCTCTTGCTTTCTCCATGGACTTATTTAATATGGATATTCTCCTAGATCAGTTCAGAAGATCATAACAGTCTTCCACTTCTCATGATTTTCATTTAAAATATATGTTTGGTGTCCCAGAAATTCAATCCAGGAAGAAAAATTGATAGTAAAACAGTGTGTTTGAGATTGTGTCTTTTAGTAAGAAAGACCAGAACTGATATATAAAGTGTGAGGTGACCTTGACCACTGGGGGCCCACTGAGCTCACAGCCAGTTTTACCTTCTCTGGTGCTTTAGGTCTGTTCACCTGAATCCTTTTATTTCACGCTGGCCTCAAGCATATAGACCACTGTGAGAAGGTAGGTGCATCTGCAGAGAGTCCATTTTATCTTTCCTTTTGTGTGACTGATGATTGGCCAGAGTGAAATTCTACTAGTACAGGGCTTGGGGAAGGAAAAGTTCCTTGCCTTGTCAAGGAGACAGGGCAGAAAGAGAGCACCTGTTCCTGCACCTTTGGTCAGGAGATCAAACACAATCTGCCTTGACCAAAACAGTTCTCTAGAAGTCCAGGCAGTAGGTCAGCAAAAAGAGAAGGCTGTGGCTCACTCAGTAGCGCTGCCAGGAGGATGTCCATTCCTTCTTGCCCTGGAGACAGCTGCCTCAGGTCCCCCTCAAGCACAGCTACAGCCTCCTCTGTGCACAGTCTCCAGTGGAACTGAATGTCCTCCTGTTGCTCTGCCTGCTCCCCTGTCCTGCCTCTTCTGTGGCATGTGTAAGTTAATTTGAAGGGAGATGTGTGCCCATTTGCACACACCAGTACATCCAGTCCCAGCATGCAGTGAATGGAACATTCGAGCTATGCTTTTAATAGTGCAATAAATTAGCACAGCTGTTTAATTCAAAACAATCTGTTTACTTGCTCACATGTGACTGTGGAACGATTACAGGAAATTAAAATGTCTAAAAATAGAAAGAGTGCCAGGGAAGAAAACAATTATACAGTGCAACGTGACTTGGTGCTGGCCATTACTCTTACCTGTGAACCACAAAAAGCTGCTCCTGGTTCTCTCTTCCACCCTCAATGCTCAGCTGCTCTTGAATGGAAAGCTCAACATTAAATCAGCATATCTCCTTTTTTCCTATTTACTTGAGAGCAGACCTGGAGCCTCCCAGCCTCTGCCTTCTTGTCCCAGGAGCTACCTTGAGTGAAAATGGACTCGTGTAAGCCTGCAGGCATCTGCTGCACTTTGGGCACCCCCACGATGGCTAGCTAAGGCCTGAAGAGATGTGTGACCGAAGGCAGAGCCAAGCATTTTTGGTCTATCACTGCAGCTCTTCAAGAAGACAAGCCATTCTGAATTCTCAGCAAATCTATACCTCTCCATCACTTCACTTTGTAAAAAAAAAAAAGTGGTGCTAGTGCCTGTGCTGGTGTTCATGAGTCACCTCTCTGGTTGGAAAATATACATCTCTTGCACGACATTCTTGAGCTTGGTGTCTCCTGGCTAGATTTGGCGCCTTTGGTTCAGAGAGAAGCACCCTACTACCAGGACCCCAGCATGGGATGCTGAAGGACTCTGTTGGGAGACAAACCTGCTGAGCCACAACTCCTGGAGTAGATATCAGCACAAGTGTCTCCTCCTATTATTTATGATTTACAAGCCAGGAAATGTGCAGTGTGAACTCCACTTTCTTATTGACTATACTATTTTTCTGAGTACAGTCTGATGCAAAAATAGATTATCAAGAAGATACCACAGTTTCTGTGAAAATATTCACATTTTGTACTAGTATTAGAAACTGCAAAAAAAGAAAATCTTGCTGCCTGGACATTCCTCATTCAAGCGACTGAGCAAGCTGTAACTTCCTTGGGCTTTTTTGACTGAATTTTTTCATGTAAATTTATTCAGAAGTAAGCCATTTGTAGAAACTATCTTTCTAAGACATCTTCCTTTACTCATGATGGAGGGAGGGAGAGAGAAAGAGCACTAAAGGGTAATATTTTAGACATTGATTTTAAGGATAGATGATCCATGCAGGAATGGCAGACCTCTCTTTGCATTAATTGTAGAGGACTTTAAAAATAAACAAACTGAAGTGTGGGTCTTTGAAGGAACTAACAAAAATCTAGATTTGTAATACACTGAGTTTTTTCCCTCTCTTTCTCCTTGACTAAACTTGAACTATACTTGAATTTGCTTTCTAAATTGCCTTTTTCTTCATCTTCAGTAATTGCTCTTCAAACTCTGTTCCTCTGCTCTCAACCCCTGTGGCTTACTTAACAGTTTAACTGATTGCTTTCAGCACTCAGGTGTTGCGTTTGTACAGTACAGTGTAAAATTTGTATACAGGGCAGGCATAACCTTATAAACAAGGAAAATATTTCAGTTTTTAAATTAATACAATTACTGTGAAATTCACCCCAGTGCTTCAATTATTATAGTAGCTAATATTCTAATAAATATCTAAGACCTTATTTAGAGACTCCTATACTTTATTTGCATTGCATAAAACCTCTAATAACACTGCTAGTTGCTGCTGTGATAGGGACTAAATAAGATGAAGAATATCTTATTTACAGATGAGTAAAATGAAGTATGAGGTACAGATGAGCAAGCTGATAAGTTGTGGCATTCTCAGTCCTATGAAACAGCATTCTAGTAACCTGGAAATAATTCAAATATTGCATTATAATAATCCATAACTTAAGCTGTTCCTGTTTTTAGGATTTCAGTAGGACTATTCACATGCTTAATGTAAGTAACATATACAAGAGTATTCACATTTAGGACCACAGTTAGGGGTACTTAAAGTGGACATCTCAGTAATTAACACAGGAGAAAGACAAGTTCAGTAAACAGAAGCAGTAAAAAGGATCCAAGTCTACTGGTTGCTTACACAGTACAAGGGATAAAGCGAACCTCAGGTAATTTTCGTTCAATTAAACAGTGCAAGGAGAGTAACAAAGCCATGTAAATTCACAATACTATCAACTATGCTAAACAAGGCAAAGCACAGGGTGCTGCACTCATGGTGCTTTGACTATCGGACCCTGCCAAAAATACAGGTCAGTCCTCATTAACACTTATAAACACCCACAGGGTCAATGACAATAGGAGAAAGGGCAAGAGGTGAATAATAATGATGTTTTCTTTATCTGAGACAGTGAGCCTCTACCACTAGTACCTGAAAGATACGAATCAACGCAGCAGGAAGAAGCAGGAATGGCAAAGCCTCGGCAGTGGTATCAGGAGACTGCTTTGACAACTGACCTGATTTGCATTCAAAGCAAAAGTATCTGAGCTCCTTCATGCAGACATGGTAACACAGCAGCACACAGCTTTCTGTGAGCTCATCTTCCCCATTTTTGCAGATCCTGAGCAGATTATGTTAGTCCATACTTACATGTCCAAGAACACCAGGATTGCAAGGAAAGGGACAAAAAATGCTAACGAGGCACAAGGTAGTGAAACAATACCTCGAAACAATACCTCATGCACAGATTTTCTTTTAGTGTTAAAACTGCAGTCCTAGTTCTGGGAAGATTTTGGCAAAGACAGGAAGAGATTATATTTCTTAAGGTAGCAGTGCTTCCAGCAAACTTGACTTCGGACCGTATCTTACAAACACTAATGAATTCAAGTATCAAATTGTAGCTCTGTCAAGTCAGCATTGTTCTTATTTAACATATAAGAGAACAGAGGTAGGGGAATACAGACAGCGTTATTTTCTTGCCATGCTCAGAGATAGATACTATTGAGATTTTCAGTGGATCTTGACAGTTTTTGCAACAAACAAATGCACTGTCAGTCATTTAATTCTGGCACTTGGAACTTAATAGAGCAGGTAACAAAATCAACTAAAGCATATGGAGGACTATTTTTGTTGAAAAGAACATTTTAGACTGTATATGATTTGCATGTGGTTTCATGTAAATGAAAGTAAAATTTGTTTCAGAAGCAGTATTTTAGAAGATAAAAAATTTTGTTACCTGTGTTTCCATAAGAGGTAATCCTGTCTGCAGATTCTTATAGACTCAGATCGAAGAAAAGGATCTGATGGAAACATACAAGTCAGTCAAGAAAAAATAAAGAAATAATAAAGTAATGCAGATCAGCATGTGAGAAAGTAATCTGAGCACATTTTTCACCCAAATACCAACTAACTTTCAGAAATTGTGCACTTATCTTGACTTGGAATTTTCATACAAAGAAATGTGGAAGAATCTGATTCAAAGATCTCTCTTTACCTGTAAAAGAACTAGAGAGTCTGTCTTGATGGGAAGAATCCAAACAGTTCAGCAATCATCCCTTGAAAATTTCAGATGCTAATCATGTCCTCATTAACAATATGTCAGTGATATGGGGATTCAACTGAAATTACTGTGATGACTTCATGCTAATTGGTATTTAAGTAAAAGGTAAGACATTAATCAAAGATTAGAGGAATGTATGCTAAATTATTATGATATATGTATAGCTGAAGTGTTGAAATGGAAAGACATTTCTTTCTTGGAAGAATAAAAGTAAAAACCTAGAGGAAAACAGATTCAAGGTAAAAATACATCTGAAGATGCTGAATGACTTCTTTTAATTTCTATCTGCATTTTTCTTTTCCCTGTGGGAAATAAGTCATTTGTCTGGAAGAAAGTGTTTGGAATCAGCAATTTGATGCTATATATGGAGGATCCAAATGAGCTTTATTGAGCTGGCATCATTTTGGTAGTTGCAAGAATGCAAATTTTCTTCCAGTTTAGAAGAACTACATTTAAGACCTTTTTAGTAAAGCCTCAAACTTGCAAATGTAAGGGTGGTGGATATTACCACTGAAATCTGACTTGAAGTTCAGTTCATATGTAAAGTTTTCTTAGGAGCCATGTATAAAGAAATCAGATGATGCAAAGAGTAATTCTGAACATCTTCTATGGTGCCTTTGGCTGTTTCTGTACCAGGATAGAACTAACTTAAATTTTTCCTCTGTGAATTCGAGTCCTTTTGCTGGAAGGGAGACGAGTGGCAGCTGTGGCCCCGTGTCTCACAGATCCCTGAGGGGCAGAGAGGGCTACTGAAGGCTGTAAAACAAGGAAACAAAATAGAACAGCTTGAAACTTGTTCTCTCCTGTATAAGACAAAGATCGCCTTTGGATCACAGGGCTATAAAAATAGTTCCAACCTACTTCTGCCTTTTTTAGCACTCCAGTCTTCTGACAGCCTATTTGGGCCCAAAGTTAAGTCACTCTGCAAAGGAAAATCTCTTGCCTGAAAGCTCCCCATAGGCTTGAGCACTGGAAACACACTGAAAAGAGAATAGCAGGAAAGGAGAAATATTTATAACAACAACTGTATCAGTTCCAGCCCCTCCGCCAGGGCTTTGAGCAGACAAATGAGTCAGACCAGTGTGAAGTCAAAGCCCTGGTTTTACAGCTGGCTACCACCCTCATAGCATGAGAAAATAAGGTTGATCTGGGGCTCCTGGCAATCACTTTCTCAGTCTGCATAGAGAAGCAAACAGAAAAATTTGCACATCTTTTTCATTCAAAATGATTATTTTATGCCAGACAAAAGTACTGCTCTGATCAGCTGCTTCTGCTTCTCTGTCTGTATTTTTCTGTACTCTGAGGATCTTTGTTAGCTTCCCCGGGAAGAGGTTTTGGTCACAGAGACCTTTGTTTTGCCAGTTAGGACTCCCTCCCCTGCTTGGATGCAGATACTGCTCTCTGTTTCTCATTTTCCTGAGTGCCATTTTCTCCTAGAAAAACAAACTCATTTACAAAGTTCTGTGACTTATCTCCTTTTCCCATGAGATGCTTTCCACTGAAACCTGTGTTTCAGCTCTAGCTCTAGTTACCTAAGTAGAAATGGTGTCACCCAATCCTGTGCAAACCACCTAGTCACTTCTGAGGCCTGACTCTAAAGCTGTATGTAGCAAATCCACAGCAGGAGAAAAACTTGAGGTCTTCCTTCTACATTTGAGAATTTTTTTTTTTTTTTTAAATCAAGATTTAATGTCACTACCAGGGACACAAGGCATTTTTTAATGCTTTTAAATTCCACTGCTAAATTCATGAATCTACTTCAGGCAAAGCAATGGTTGCTGTTTTGTTTACCAGGCTTGAAAGGACTGAAAGCCCGCAGTGACACACTAGATTATGTAGATCTCATTAGCATTTCATTAATACTCCACTTCTTCTCATTAAAATCTCAACCTTGTGTAATTTCTCTGCCTCCCTCCTCAGATAAGAAAGCTCAGATGCAGAAAGTTAATGGAGTCGGGTTTTTTCCCCATTTCTGAGGTACACTTGCTACAGGCACTTGCTGAGCCCTGTCAAGCTGATATTTTTAATAATACACTATGTTCTTATTAGTGCTCGTGTCTGTAAATCACATTGAGCTGAAAGAAATTTCCAGCAGTTGTAGATTCCCTGCACAGCTTGCTGTAACTGCCCTAGCAACAGGGATCTGATGTGACATGGGTTTGTGTAAAATGTATGCCTCAAAAAATCTCTCCTGACCTTTTGAAAGATGTGAGTCTCAGGTTGGTGAAGACAGGGCTGCGTGGGTACCTGAAAGTCTTGTCCTGCTCCCACATATCTACAGGGCATGCATGGATGGATTTTAAGGAAAGGTTCTTCATCAGTAGGCAGTGGGCATGGCACCAAGTTCAAGGAGCGTTTGGACAACACTCTCACACACACGGTTTGGATTTTAGGTGGTCCTGTGTGGAGCCAGGAATTCAGAATCTTCAATGATTCTAAAGACTTTCTTAAAAATGACACTTCAGTAAACAAGATATACAGTCTGGCAGATAGAGAAGCAGCCCTATAATGAAAACGGTCTTTTTGTCTTCTGTATGATGCCATCTGAATATCTGAGTGTTCCAAGCAAAATCTTTAAAAGTGAGAATACTGTAGATTCCTTCAATAATAGTGCACAGTATCTGCAAAGACTGGAACTGGAAGGGAAAAAAAAAAAGCAGGAGGAGGGAGAGAGAGAACTTTGAAGTGTCTAGAAAATTTCCTTTTTTGGTAGCTTTTTCTTACAGCTGAAGAGTCTGCCATTTTCACTGATTTTTCTGAAAGAGGAGGATACTGTTGTTGTTTTTTTTTCCCTTAAGCATTGCAGTAAATTGCAGTCTGATTGGTACTAAGTAGTAGAGTTCATGGAGAAAGATGTCTATCAACTTTGGATAAGGATCTACAGATCATTATCTATTATACTCCATAACAAGAATAATTTTTGGAGGTAGAAGAACATAACTCTGTATTAAATCTGTCAGAATTGTAGGCTTGTCAGCCTTTAAGGGACTAGTTACAAATAATCAGTAAATACTTGATTACAGGCTATTTTTGTTACAAATTATTTTGATGACCACATGCATGCAGCCTCCACAATTGCTTTTTTTTTTTAAGTATGAACTGGAATGAAAACTGTTTATATCTTTTGAGAACAGATTTTGTATTTTGGTACCAAAAGATCCTGGTCTTTAATAGGATTTCAAATTGCTTCCAAAACAACATAGCAAAACCAATAGGCCCCTCATGATTATGATTGTAAATAATCATAGAAAATAGTTATTTACATTACTCAGTATGTGTATGCATTTAAAAGAGGGAATTACTAGAGAACAGTGACTTAACATCGCACAAATAAACATCCGCTTTTCCATTGGTCTGCTACAAATAAGTTATGTGTAAAATATGGAAAGATCAAAATCAGATCAAGCTGTGATCATCCAGAGAACGGTAAACAATTTCTTGAAGTTGCTGTGGTTGTTCCATCAGTCTTTAGAAGAAGGTCATTTTCTCTTGAGTGAATGATGTTTTAATTCATCAACTTCCAGTTATTTCATACGTCTGTATAAACAGAAATCTTCCCACTTAAAGGCAGAGATGAAAATATCCACACGACAGCAGTGTCTGACACAGGAGTATGAAAAGCAATGAAATGTTACAAAAGATTTGTTGCTGATTGTGGAAACTGTAGGGTAGTTGGACTTTTTAAATCAGTACTTTTACCTGTGTGTGTGTGTATATACACACATAAAAATTCTGGAAACCTAATTATTCAAAAGCATTCCTGCATCCTCAAATAGAATAATATGGATGCTAACAAACTTCTGTTCTCTGGAGCCAAACAGCCATTTCCATTGTTGAAAAATACTTTGTCAAATTAATGTGAGATGATTATTAGTTCCATAACATTTATAAGCTAATAATTATTATGGCTCTATCTATTTGTTGGATGAAACATGCAAATGCCTTCTCGTATGAGATTGCAATCCCTTACATGGAGTTGTCTCTGTTGCTCCAATCACATTGCTTTGCTGTCTAGTCCCAAACCTACTGGAGTAATTGAAAAGAATTATTTTAATTTCAGTGGGATTCAAAACATGCCTTGAGCAAGTAATCATCTGCAAATAGTTCATCTTCTGACCCCAAAAATTCATTTAGTATTCAGCTTAATGGAGTATTTAATTAAAAAGCACCATAAAGGTGCAAAATAAGGAATATTTATTGTTAACTGGCTGAACTTCATCTGAAAAAAACAAAAAAACAAAACAAAACAAAACAAAAAAAAAAACAACAAAAAAAACAAAACCCAAACCCAATAAAACAAAATCAAGATTTAAAGAGCATTGTCTCTTCTGGCAGGCAACTAAGCTTACAGAACATCTTTTTCCCTGACTTATGCCTAAAGTGTGGTGAGCCTCAGGCAGTCCAGAAATACTCATCTACATAAATCATTTAATACAGTATAATTTTCATGACAGTCCTCAGAAGCCTATCTCAGTGCTTTGACTAAAGATCTTACATGTTAGAAAAAAAGTGAAATATGGTGTTTGAACACCTTCCATTTAGTTTTGCAAAGTTTATAAATTAGTTTCTCCACCTACTATGAACTCAAGTACTACCCCAGGGAGATTCCCTTGGTTTTTTGCAGTGCACTGGAGGCACAAAGAACATACCCATACAAAGTGGTCTCAGGACCAGCCACCCTGTATGCCTGAACTGCCCACTCCAAAGACAAATAGAAGCAAGTTGACTCCAAGCTCAGTCTATGTCCCACTTGGAGCACTCATGTACCTGAATCAGCCTCTAAAATTGAAGAGTGACTTCAATTTTCAAAGAACAGAGGTTTTTTTGTCTTTCATGCTGTTCTTTCTCTTTGGGTGCTATGTTTGATAAATACAATTGTTCTTTGCAAAACCTACTACAAATCACAAAATGGAGAAAGCTGTGCCTATTTCTGACCATTAATGAAACCAGATCATTGATTTCTAGTGTTACACAGTGTTCCTGAATGCAGTTAATTTATATGAACAGTACAATAGACGTTGTTCTTAAATCTCATTCTGTTGTTTTATGAAAGGCTAATGTGATAGAACAAATGGAACTAATGCTAGCTTAAGGAAGAATGCTTCAATTTCTACATATTTTAGGTTATGAATGCAGACATTATGTAGGTTTCAATAAATGGACCCTAACTTCTTCCATTTAAAACTGTTTCTTCAGTTCTCGTTAAGAATTCAGTGCTTGTTTCTTTCAGGAAATAGTAGTCCACAGTACTCACCAAAGGCCCAAGTCCCAGTGACACTGAACTGGAAAGCTTGTATTTAGCTGGAACTCACATGTTCAACTAGATGTTTCACTGGGACAGCTCCTGGGAATTGAATTTCCTTCTATTGACAGCAATATGACTGTGGTGGAACCTTACTTAAGACAATATTCATGCAGATTCCACTTTAACAGAATATCTATTCAGATGGTATTATCACCATAAGTGGTGCTTCAGAAGGTATGAATACTAAGCTTCAGTCTACACAGCCAAATAGACTTTTAGATCAGCTCTTTGATAAAAAAGGTAAACAAAAGATGATTGCAATTAATGTATTTTTTCTGATTTTTTTTTTCGACCCTTAATTTTGGTAAGTTAAGACTTTTCATATTCTGTATAAACAACTCATTCATGAAGAGTTATGGCACAGTAACAAGTGTTAGAACGATAAGCCATTGACTAAGATGACAATGACTTCTGTTGTTGCAATAAACCGACTTACCTGAGTTCATTCCTAAGCGCAGAATTTCACAGCAACTGGCCTATAAGGTAACTCACGTGTGTAAGCTTTGTTTTAGTTTTGCTGAAGTTCTACACACTAAAGTGTGTAAGGATCATTTGATGACACCAAGCTATGGGTTGTGGTTGACATACAGGATGCCATCCAGAGAAATCTGGGAAGGCTTGAGCAGTGGGCCCAGGAGAACATCAAAAGGTTCAACAAATCCAAGTGCAAGGTCATGCACCTGTGTCAAGGCAACATCCACTACCAACACAAGCTGGAGGATGAAGGGACTGAACATAGCCACACCAAAAAAAAAAAAAAAAAAAAAAAAAAGACCTGGATGTACTATTGGGTGGCAAGGTGAACAAGAGTCAGCAATGTGCCTTCACAGCCCAGAAAACCAACCATATCCTGAACTGAATTGCTACATCAAAAGAAGCATGGCCAGCCAGTGATGGGAGGTGATCCTGCCTGTCTACTCTGTGCTGGTGAGGTCTTACCTGGAATACTGTGTCCAGATGTGAAGTCCATGGAAAAGATATAGACCTGTTGGATTGTGTCCAGAGGAGCACCACAAAAAGTGATCCAAGGGATGGAACACGTCCTCTGTGAGAAAGGGCTGAGAGAGCTGGGGCTGTTCAGCCTGGAGAAGGTCGAGTTGGCTTTTCAGTATCTAAAGGGGATCCATAGGAAAGGACAGACCCTTCAGGAGGATCCATAGTGACAGAACAAGGGAAAACGTTTTCAAACTTAAAAAGTGCAGATTTAGGTTGGAAATAAGGAACAAGTCTTTCACAGTGAGGGTAGTGAGGCACTAGAACAGGTTGCTCAGAGATATGGTGGATACCCTATCCCTGGAGACGTTCACGACTAGGCTGGTTGGGGCTCTAAGCAGCCTGATCCAGCTGTGGATATCTCTGTTCATTGCAGGGAAATTAGACTAGATGACCATTAAAGGTCCCTTCCAGCTGTAAGGAACCTATGTCTCTAGGATAGTACAGCTAATAATGACAATAGATATTATTCATTTCCTGTGTAAAGAAAGATGCTCCCAGGTTCAACTATCCCAGCATTTATGTGCAAAAAGGCAGGTTCCCAAATCTGTAGCTTATCTTGTTATTCTTATTATCAGTATAGGAATGAGTTGCATGAAAAAAAAGATGTTTGCCTGGCACATTACTAGTATCCACTGCAGAAAAGAAATTCTACCTTGTGATCCCAATTGGCCTGTAAGGCTCCCTCCAACCTTGCACTGACTGATGTTTCATTGAAGTAGCAGAATTTTTTCTATTGCCACAGCGGGGGATGGCACTCACAGCCCTTGCAGGCTCTGACATCTAGCTAGATGCTATTTTTCTAGTCACTTGGCCAACAAACCAATTGCATCATAGCTGGGATGGGAGTTTTCCTGCTGGCCTGCCCTGCTCCATTCTGTACAAATCCTCCCATGGGAGAAGATTCTGTGTGATATATCCTGCACCAAAACCAGCACCTGTCTTTGGAAATCTCCATAGATCTGATGAAGATGGATGAAATAATCTTCCTTTGTCTATTCTGCATGGGACCACCTTTTCCAGAGTAACCCCAGGCTAGCTGAGATCTCAGAAATACATACGTTTCATCTGCTTTCTGCTTTTTCTCTGGGATATTTTTGTTTTCTAACCTGTCTTGCCTTCTTCAAAGTAAACTTAATCACAATCATTTGAACAATTAATTGTCTAAGCTGCTATTTATAATTAGTGGAAATTGAAATGAAATTTATCAAGAAAAATTATTAAGTTATATTAACACTTCATTTAAGTTATGTTATTCATACTCATCCCAGCTCATGCATCAGCAAAGTGTCTGGTAACTGATCCCAGGCTGATAACCCATCTGGAGAGCTCACTGTGAAATAGGAATTTTACTTGGAGATTTCATGTATAGAATTTTCTTTCCTTGAGAGACTTCAAAACAGGTGAATTTAAGATAACTCAGGAAAAACAAATTACTGTTTTCTTTCCCTAGACATTACTTCAGAGATTTGGAATCTCATAAGCTTCATTTCATTGAGCAATTTTGCAGTTTGTGCTGGCAAAAAGGTAGAAAGCAAAGCAAAAAAAAAAAGCTACTCTGACTTATAATGTGCCAAGAAAATAACCTCAAATAGAATTTGGAAGGCAACAATTATTTTTCTGTTTAATTACTAAAAAAGAAAAAAAGAGAAAAAGAAAGAGATTGAGAAAAAGAGAGAACGGAATGAAAAACGCTTAGAGAAAGAAACGTAAATCAAAAGGGAAAAAAAAGGCTGGCCTAAGGCTCAAAGAGAGAGAAATAAATGAAAGAAGGGGGAAAACAGAACAGAATCACAACATGAACTGAGAAAATAAAGGAAAAAAAACAGGTTTTTAAGAGAAGAATGAACATACTGTCTGCAATAAAAGGGGGGGAAAAGCACTGAAAGAAAACAGTAAGTTTATGAAACAGATGAAATTAACTTCTGTGCTGACATTTATCAAAAGTCTTGCATGTGCTGCAAAATTTCATATCAATTAACTCCCGGTGTTATGTTCCTCCTAAAAGAGGGGGAAACTCTTCCTAATCAGTAGGCATTCACCACTGAGTTTCAACATAAGATGAGATCCTAGGAAGAACATATACGAAAACATAGGGTATGACCTATGCATGTGTATTCTACTAGGTTAGACAGCAATTAAAATTAAATGGGAGTAAAATTCTAATGGGAACAGGGAAATGCATACATATTTGCAGACATTGTGTGTGTGTTCTGGCTCCTGGTTTTTCTCAACCTGATTATTGGACTTGCATGTCTAACACTCAGGAGTCCTTTTATTCTCAGTAGGAGACTATCATTCCAAAACTCAAATCATGAGCACATGTTCTAATATGAAGTGCTGAAAGATGTTGACACTATTTCTGCTCAAAATGAACTCCTGGACATTTAAAGGGGGGCATGCTTCAGATTAACTTTGGCTTCTAGTCCTTATCAGTAATGAAATAAATGGCAATTTGAAAATGAAAGGAGGAGAGAAACACAGGCAGAGGTTAGGGAGTTACAACACAGCAGCTCAGACACAGAAAGTAGAATCAAGGCAGTTTGAAGGGAGCAAGAAGAGCAGGTATAAAACCAGGTAAAAAGAACTTTATACATTATTAATACTCAAATGGCAAAGGCTTTTTCTCAAATTAATAAGTGTTTATAAAGGGGAATATCAGGCACAGGAAATAGTTACTACTTTAGTTATAAAGAGAAAAACAGCTGGAAGGGAAAGACTGTCTTTCACGCCATCTTGCTGAGCCACAATGTTCCCTTGTGGCACAGAGGCATAGCCATGGACCAGGCCCCTTCTACTTACTGCAGTTTATTTCTACCTATACTCACTGACCATCTGGCCCACAATCTGGTTTTCTTTTTGTAATAATTGTCATTCAGTACTGCTTTTTGTTTCTAGTGGGGGCATATAACCAGTTCACAATCTGTAATATTTTCCATAGACACATCTTTCATTGAGCTCTCTGAAAAACAAGGAATAAAACTTCCATTAATGTAGCTTCAGTTATTACCTGTTAACTGCTTCTGGCCTTCTTAATTTGTCATAGTTGCCATTAAAGATACTTTAATAGCCACCATTATCTTTAAGTTAACTTTATTCATTACACAAAATAACTGTATAGAAAAAAATAATATAATGAATAAGTGTTGACATTTTCATAACAACCACTGTATTATTTTTGAGGCTCTAACATGCAGGTCTTGAAAGAATTTAGTTCTAAAGTATTGTCAATTTTTTCACCTCCTTTCTAACTCCTAGGGATTGTTCTGGTTGTGTAAGATATCTAAGACCCAGAAACATACTACTAAAAACATTTTCCTCTCTGAGGAAGTTAGACTTTCATTTGTTTTTATTTATTTGTTTATTTTTATTGTGCGAGATAAATTGAGAAGTGTTTACACTGGAGTCAGGAGGTGAAGTAGGCAAAGTCAAGATCAGCAGGCTGTTGTCTGATTCCAAAAACAAAAATATAAATAAATGCTTTCAATGTACACTAATCGTAGCCTATTGGCAAAATTCCCATTCACCTCAAAAGTAAACAAGCCAAAAAAACTATTAATTTCTTAATTCCCTAAGAGATTTGTACTATATGAAGATTGACATAATCATCTCGTGTAGTTTTACATATCAGCTCTAAAAACAAAAAACAGACATTTTCACCAGGCTAGTTTGTATGAACAAATTTTCATGCTTTCAGTCAAAGTGGTATTAGATGCAACTGCACTTTGATGCTGTCCAAAATGCAGATAACCAGAGTTCTGCAGCAAGAACTACACGGCAAAGGGAAAGGTGAGGGGGAATTTATCCTCCTTTCTCGTATCTCCAAGATGTGTACAGTCTCTGGCAGGATTAGAAGAGCATGGATTGAGGAAGCACAAATAAGAAGCCCAGAATGGTGCCAAAATTGTGCAAACCGAACTAGCACCTGAACAAGACACTTTTATAATAATAACTGAGACTAAATCACTGGAATGTCTCTTAAAATCTTAGCTTGAATCTGCACCACCATCAGTGATGCAGCTCAACAGGGGGCAAAGAGAACTGCTAAAACAGATCACTTGGGGGAGTCTTGAGAATAGGCTATGCTGAATACGTTTTACTCACTTTCTGTTCCTGTTTCAGCCTTTGTTAGAATAGCTGACAGCTAGTTTGGAAGGGCCTGACTAAATATGACAAAGAATGAAAAAAAAAATATCAATATTAGAATAGCAGATAGCATTTATTTCCAGGGAAGCAGAGAACATTACCATTCTGCAGACTGCTCAAGCATACTTTTTCTTCTATACTGTAACATTTGCACACTTAAGTAGACATTTGATATTTCTTTCATATAGATATGAGAAACAGATCATCTACCTGAATGAGGTCATCTCATTTTTTCACCAGAATATGTAAAACATGGAAGAATTTCAGATGTAGGCCAGCCCAGATAGTCTTAAATCAGTATGATTTTACTAATTTGAAGAAGAGCGCTATTACATCAACTGATACAAATTGCCTTAACTAATCAGATGTCAATACTTAGCCTTATTTCATGCTTTCTCAGTCTGACAACGGTCCAGGCTCCATCGCAAGAAATAATCTGGGTGTTACTTTTCCACACCAGCTGATTTTTTGGGTGAATACAGGCTGATGTCCAGGCAAGCACAGCAAGAGAGTTTGGCAAAGCAGATTATAATAACAAAAAGAGAATAGATAGAAAGCTTACCTGTACCCTGGCTTCACCACAAAACTCCAGAAGAGGGATCTCCAGAAGAGCTCCTTTCCTACTGGTAGTCAGCTCTTAAATGGGTCTAGGAGGGGTAGAACCAGGCTCCACCCCTTCCAGCAGCACAGGTGAACTGCCTTCACCTGTGCTCCTGTGCCTGACTCATTGCTCACCACAGGTGATCAATCAGAGGGTCAGGCCGTGACTCAGCAGTTCCCATACAGTCACAAAGACCTATCCTATAAAGGAGAATATATGTAACTCAAAGAAAGTCCAAAATACAGATAAGGAAATACCTGAAACTGTTTCATCCCAAATGTTTTTAGGTATGAGTGTGTTTAAAGACCTTTCTATGTTACAAACAGAGCTCAGTACTGAAAAAGAAACTTATGTGCTAAGTGCTACCATTTTACTGTAGCTCTCAGAAAAGATGTAGACCAAAATAACTTTTTGTAGGTATGCTCATTTCTTGTTCTATTACATTTTTTTTCCTCACTCTGATTTGTTTTAATAATCATGCTTTGTTTTGACACCTTGAATCATTTCTATGACATTGAGCATATTATCTGATCTGCATTACAAGCTGTCACTGAAAATGTGCTGTGCGCTAAAGTTAGATCCGAGGTGACAAGTAACAGAGCTTTTTTTCTTCCCCTATAAAGCCTATAAATTTCAGTTTCATGCAAACCTCATTTCTCACTGCATAACACTCATGACAACAAATTGGTGCTATAAATTTATGGCAAATGTATTTCTTTTCCTATGATCTATAGTGGTTACTCGCAGTAAAAAAAAAGGTGTTAGTCAGTGGCAGTTTTAAGTTTCTGCTAAATATCTAAGATCACCACTGGGTTTTCCTGTCAGTTTTCAATTTGTAAATGTAAAGTGCAAAAGAGTTTGCCCACCCTTTTTGTATATAATGAACACTTCAGTAGTTTCCCTGTTTTTTAACAATAATATATATATAAAAGTCTATCAGCTTTTTCTCCTGAGAGAGCAGGTTAAAGGCTTGATCCAAGGTTTGTTCAAATGGATGAAAAGACTGATTACTTTCAAAAGGCTTTAGATTAGACTGTAGGATAGCATTTAGCCAGCTGTGAAACAGTTATCATTGTGTGACCATGAATCTGGCAATTGAAGTTTTTCTTTCATCCTTGGTATCCAGGTGCCTTTCCCCTAAACAGCACACATAATTGCCACAATATAGTATATCTGTTTTCACTGCTCCTTCTTGGTTTCTCTGAGGGATCTACTCTCCATACCTCTTCATTGCATGGGTCTTCTACAGATTGGCACGTTGTAATGCACCATAGTAGTTTTTATTTAATTTTGATTTCTTTTAACTGAAAATTGATATTTAGGGAATGAACGACAGATAAACATACTACTGTGATCAAGAGAAGAATGGCGGATAAACATTTTACTGTAATCAAGAGAAATGTGATCATTCTTATTGTGGTATCCTTCAGAAGGAATCACAAAACGTATAGTCTCTCTTACATCTCAAAGATTATTTCAAGGATGAAAAAAGGCAATACACTAGAAAATTTCATGAAGAAAACTTGTATGGGTATTAGTACAACATATGACACTGCTCCTTCTTGTGGCTCATCACAGTTTTTCTCTATTTTTTCCCCTTGCAGAAGAGACTTACCTTCAGTTCAATAATCACTTTTGTAATTGGCAGCATCAGTGATTTCCACATATTTTTCCCCTCAGTACATTCGGTTGCCTCAGACAAAGGGATCAAACACAATTATGAGAGTGTTTCCAAGAAAGAAAATTGTCTGAGCACTGGGGGCCAAAGTAAAAATAAATTAAGTGTCCCTATTGTAACAGATCATAGGGATTAGATTACATTGATTAAATTTTCAGAAGTCCAAATATATAGCAGACACACCAGCCCTTAGGGCTCTTGCAGACTCCTTTGCTCTAAAAGGCAAAATTACTTAAATAATAGAAAAACTGATCATCACCATTTTGTCTTTAGAAACATTATGGCACTTCAGCATTGTCCACACATGCTGGTGGAAAAGTAGCAATTATCCTAGGTCATTGGAGATAATTTTTGCCTGTAATCAAAAACCCTGTGATTAATCATCCCTCACGCTCTGGCCTTTTTCAGATTAGGGTTTCCCCGCACCTTCTGTACTTTATTTCTCTGGTTGCTGCAATCCAGACTGCCTGAGATGCCTTATAGCTTTCTTGTCCACACATCCATTGGTAGAGCTAACTGTTGCATGTGAAAGCTCTTTTTTCATTGTTGTTTGGAAGCTGCACGTTTCATGGCCTCAATTCATCTCCATCTTTATTCTTCATGCCTGTCATAATTATACAGACCTCTGACATGACCTCCTCAAATTGGTAACCCTTCTCTTCCTGAACAACTCTATTATTTCTACTATGGAAAATGTTTGCTCCCTCTGATCATTACTGCTTTTTTCAAAAATGTGTTGATTACTTCCATATCTTTTCAGAGATGAGAAGTATAGAGCTGCCTACGTTATTCACGATAGGAGAGAACTGTGAATTTATGCAATGGCAGAATTATATTTTTTTCTTTCCTATTTTTTTTTCCAAAAATTCCTAATATTTTATTAATTATTTGGGTAGCTATTGATCACTGACCCAATGTTTTCATGGATAAATTGAGCCAACTACAAAATTTTCAGCTCAGACTCCTTTTGGTTCCCCATGAAGTCCTATTTAAGACTTGCAAGGCTATTCTGTTTCGAGGCATCAGCTAACCCTTCTCTTTCTAGCAGACGCTGTCTGAAGTCTATTGCATTGCAGCAAGAGAGAAGGAGATGGATATTTTACATTCATGTGAATAAATGGCAGGTTATTGCAGAATGGAGTGTTCCATAAGAAACCTGTATCTTCATGCTAATACAGAGAATTGAATTCCTTGTTTTTCTCAGAGTTCTTTGCAAGTAGTTTCTTCTTCTCTCTCTTTTTTTTTTTTTTTTAATTCAAGTATAAGATCAACTATAATTGTATTACTTCTATTCATGTTCCACTTTTACCTATAATTTAAGAAAGTGCCACTGGAGTTAAGGAAATACCCTGTCAATAGTTTTGCATTACTTTGTCTCTCAGGACATGATGTTCTGAATTCCTTACAAAAGGCTGACTTTTCTAAGATATACACAAACTAAATTTTCATGAATACATCCTAAAGGAAAGTCAGCTGAATATATCTATACTGATAACGATAGAATAGGAAGGTACTCCTGTACTTGGAAGATAGTTTTAGCTTCTTCCTCCAAGCTTTAATGATCTTTTCTATAGAAATTTCATAGTGGTTGATGAAGGTAAAAACACCATTCCTCATTTGAAATTTTCATAAATACAATGAAGTTGATTCAGTGATATCATTTCCAGTTCATAATTTCTGTAAATTTCCCTTGTAGAACATTATGCAAATAGTTTCCTTTCAGAATGACGCAGTGATCATTTACATTCCTTAAAGAATTAGGTAAAATTTTAGATGAAGGTGCTTAAATTTAAGTATATATTTTATACTAAACTAATGTGCTCTCTTACTTCTCAGAAAAAGAATAGCAACAGCATCACTCTTCTGTATGGATGGCATTTTCTAAACAGAATGCAATATCAATACATGTGATTTATGCAGTGCTCATTACTAAGGATCTTTAGCTCCAATCTTCATTCTTCAGCTAAGATAACTGTTTATTTACTTAAAAACAAAGCAAGACACTGAATGTTTCCAACATCACTACTACCTGTGTCTACTTGAGATATCCACTTTTGGGTGAAATATGAAGCAGACTCTGTACTTGTTTCTGTTTCTTTGTTGAGATTTCCAGTTTAAGAAGGTACATTCCGATTTGGTATCATGATTATCAATAGAGCTCTGCAACTCCATTGTATTGAAAATAAATATTAAAATCTTTCAGATTATTCAGCAATGATCGGTATCCAGAAAACATATATCTAAGGCTGAAAACAGGAAAAAAAAAAAAGGAGAAATTCTCATAGGGAGGAAAATCTGTGTAAAAAATTGTCTTTTTCATGGTATCTGTTGTTATCAAAGGTATCTGCTTACATGAATTTGGAAGTTTCAAAATTTTCAGAACTTACAGCTTAGACCAGTTTCTATGAATTATGTAATTAATACTTAGAGAATATTTAAATCTAAATTTCCTTGGCTTATTTGGAATTTCTACACGTAAACTTCAGAAACTAACAATTAACTGTCTTAAAAAAAGAAAAGAACAAACCACAATTATTAACCAGATATATTAATTTTCAGCAGCCAGATGCTGATACCCTGCTACAAGTGGCCAGAGCAATAGTCTGCACATTCTCACAGCAAAAGAGAAATCAGGAGAAACCATTTCATTAACTACTCTGATCACCTGGGCATCAAATCTCATTACATTTCACTCAATCATCATTTTGCCAGTCCTCATAATCAGTGTTTATCTCGGTCTCTCTACCTGAGAGACACTGAAATATCAGTATAACTTCAGCTTTTGACAAGTGGTTCCTATTAAGCTTTTCCTCATTACATAATATAAACCTCCAGCATCCACAATTTCCTCATGAGAGTAAACACTACTTCACTCTATTTAAAATGAGGGAGTTCTGTGTATTTTACATTTCAGTTCTCTTCCTCAAGGTAGCCTTTCTTACCATTACAGACCCTTGTAGCATATTTACTAGCTATGGACAACAGCATTAATTTCCTGTCCTAAAACTCGTGCAAAGAAAGGAGCTAAAGATATGCTCTGCAGGGAAGGATTAGCATGCCATTAACTGAATATTCTGATTATTTTCTCATGCAGTATGACTTTTTCATCTCAGCTAGTGGAGACTTCTGAAGGACTGATGCATAGCAGTGCTCGTCTTGCATCCATAGATCCACTGGAATGAGTGGTGGAGCCCAGTGGAAAAAGCCCCACAGTGTTTTATACAGCAGCTTGTAAATCACATGGTCGTGTTTTTCCATGGGAGTTAAATCATTATAAAGCAGAATGGCAACTTTTCCTTGCAGTGAGGCTCTTTATCTACTTGTGTCACAGGCAATGTCACCATCCAGCAAGATAGCTGTCTCCAACAATAAGATTCAGAAAAACTCCAGCTTTCAAGCAGATTTCAGAATAAATATGAAGCAAAACTGTCTCCTTACACATAGGAGATGCAGATTAGCATGAGCATGTCTTTTAAGTGAAAAGCCTCATTCACAGAATCAGCAAAGCCTCATTCACAGAATTTGCATTAAATAAATGTGTCCAACAGGAGATGAAAAGGAGGAAAAAAAGTCAGCCTAAAACATTTGCAAACTGAGGAACAAATACTTGACAGATTCATTTGAAGGACAAGGAGTGGAAAGGCAGCTTTATAGATAAAATTTTTGACGGGTTTTATTTTTGAAATGGTTTAGTAGAAAATATAATTATCTCTAATTTATAACATTTTATTATGAAATATTTCTGAGTTCATAATGAGTATCTGCCATGCCTAAATATCCTCAGACTGCGTCTCCACAACCCTGTCACACACATCATTTCAATCAAGGCAATAACTTGGCAAAATTCCTATCAACTTCAGTAGGAAATTATCTTGCAGGTTTTGATCTCTGAACTGTTAGTGTTGAGGGAGAACCAAATGGACTCTCTCAGAATGTTAGAAAGTGTCCATAACCTATAAAGATAAACTCCCATTATTTGCTCTGAGTCCCTTACAAAAGAGAACAAACTGAGTGCCAAAAATTATCTCATGCCAGTGTTTTCATTTTTTTTCTCTAGATACATTGAGATACATAGATCTTTTAGTACAGGACTCCAACTTTGATCTCTTTCCTGTATTTCACAGAAGAGCTTCATATTTTGAAGGGATACAGGATTTTTCTTTTTGGTCCCCTGCCTAGACAAACTGCAGGGGTGGGTCTATATGGGAAGTTTTGTAGTAATAATGCACTCTTTAGACAGCTCTGGAGCTGGTGAAGGAAATAAGACCAAGGAAAAGCAGGAGTTGATAATGCAATGGTAATAGTAAAAATGTGGCTGCTCCTTTCTGAAGTGGTTTAAGAGCATCAGGTCTCTGAAGAATTTTTATTGACTCTTCATTTACAAAGACTGAGAAGATAGAGCATGGTTGCCTTTTTTCTGAAGACTGAAAATGTACAGTGAAGTACAGTGACAAAAAATATTACATTCAGATCACAGATGAGACAGGAGAATCAAGGCAAGGCTTCAAATCTCCTTGCCTAATTTTGTACGATTTTGGATTATTTGGATTCACTCATTAATTTCATCTGTTTTGCTAAAAGCTGGGAGCCAAGGATCAGTGCTCCTTGCATGTGCTGACTGAATTTAGTTCTTTCCCATCATAAACCAAAGACCAAAATGCAAAGAAACATTGGATTCAGTAATGCCTAAAAATAAACGTTCACATTTCAGTTGTAATGATAAATGCATGCACGCAGATAACTGTATTTATTATGCTGATAGTTGCATCCTAACATCTAGCACAGTACAAAGCACTAATAAGTAGCTTGATTTGAACTGCATGGAACGTAAATGTAGAAATTGCGGGACATGAATGTTGTCTTCAGTAACAGACAAAAATCCTTCAAAGGATGGAGGGCAAATGCTAAATTTTCTAGTTGCCCAAAAGGCAGGTTTCTCAATGGATTTTAGACTCAAAGATGAAATCTACATTGCTGTGTATCTTCAGATAAAGCTATGCCAATATGTTAATGTACTAGAAAAAGTGATAAGAATAAAAATATGGATGAATTCAGCCTTGTCCTAAAGCAATAGAAAGATTCTCTTGGGTACTCTTATCAAATATATGTATAATATTACAAAAATATTACAGCTACTCAGTCTTAGATGAATGGAAATGACCACATAAGTGCAACCTAAAGAAAGCTACTGAGACAAATAAACAGAAGTCTGAATTACTGGCTACTCTCAGTTAAACAACAACAACAACAACAACAAAAAGCAGCAAGTACCATATGAGTTTCACTGGAAGGTCTGTTTGTAGCCTACTGTCAAAGGGAAGATTCTGAGGGGAGTAGCACATTATAAAACAAGGGATTACAAGGGAAGGGTGAATATGTGGTAATATATCCACATCATCTAGCCCGTAGTTAGCCCCTGTTCAGGGACTTCCTAAATTGAAGACTCTATCATGACTATACTATATTTAAGTGTCTAACAAATCTTATTCCATCAATTTAACTAATCATTTTCCTGAACTCACTTAACCTCTTGGCTCTCAAAGCCTCCTGTCAGCAGTTTACTAACACTGCCTGGAAAATGCTTCAACCTCTTTTTTCTAAATTGTCTTCCAAACTGTTTAATTTAATGTCCTTTGTGCTGCAAAGAACAGTGCATACTTTCCTGCTCACATTCTTCATACTAATCTTGGTTTTATAAATCTAAGACTTATTTCCTCTCAGTCTTCTTCTCTCCAATGAAAACATCCAATCTGCAGCGTCTACTAAAGAAATTCCCTAACTCTATTCACTTTGGTAGAATGGAGTTTAGACTTAGTGACCTCTACTTGCTTGTATTAGTGACTGTTTCAAAATATTGACACATTTCACTCCTGAAGTATCCAAGATTCTGTTACCTTTGGAACCAGTGCCATTGTGATAGAGCTTTTGGCAGAGATTTAGGATGTTAAGTTCCTAGTTTTTCACCTGTTATTTGGATGCTCTGTAGAGAATTATATGAGGTATAATTAATGTTGGTAAGTTCACAACAATTACCTATGGCATTTTCCAAGAGTTGATTTTAGCATTAACCTTTACATGGTTATTAATTATCTGGAAAAAAAAAATCTTATGTTAATGTGTTCTCTATAGTAATTCTGTCTACAGACTACTCCATCATTTCTGGCTCTCATTATAAAGAAGATCTGTGCCTGCTCACATCTCTTATTTGTACAAGTGCAAGAGTGACCACCCTCAGTTTCTCACGTTGATTAATGATCATGCTAGATTTGCACTAAAGGAGACTGGGTATAATTTGTAATTTTAATTTCTTAAAAATTTTAGGAGCCCATTTCCATTACTATTGACAAAATAGAGGAAGGGAATTCATGTAGCAAACATCTTTTTTGGTGATCAACTTCTAATTTTTGTATGATCGCACAATGATATGAACCCCTCTGACATAAGAAAATGTTTTGAAGTTTACACAAAGAGAATTCACACATACAATTTCCCCCCAAAAATGAGACTTAAATCAAATGTAAACAAGAAGCATGTCACCAGAGAAAGTCACAGCCCAAATACGGGAGATAAAATTTCATGCTCAGTGAGCATCAAATGTTAGAAAGTTTTCAAATTATTTTGTTTTCTCTTTTTATGCTGAAGATATTGCCAAATAACCATTACCCTTAATGGCTCTGTGCTTTAAAAAGGAATATGCAGTCTTAAGTCAGCCCTCCTGCTGTTTCACTGCCTTTGACTATTAAAGACAGTTTGTGCTATTAACATGGTGTTAGGCAAAGTGATTGCCTCAGCTATTGTTTATGACCAAGTAAACCTGCTACTTCATGAGCATGGTAGAGGAATACATTTCAGCAATTTTGCTTTTGCTGAGTGAGAGATTAAAATGGATATTTTTCTCAAGGTTTTGTTTTCAAAGGGCCATTTTTGCAACATGTTGGCTACTTTTCAAAGTGTCAGCAGCATGCATTAAGCAATGTCTTAAAGGTCTTTTCTTAAAGGTCATTTTTTCTTAGCTGGTGTTTGCTGCTGACAGCAATATAGCCTCAGTGATACTGTCGTAAAACTCAAAAAATGAGCTTCTGATAATCTTTAGGAACCACACACTGAGAGTCCAGAAATCAACATAGGAGTCAGACATTCATGACTATATTCCAGCTGCCTTTCTGACAAAATACATATTACGGATATTGTTAATTACAGTGGGTTATGGAAAGCCCACAAATGAATAGAGTAATAAGCGTTAACTATGCTAAATCTCATAAAGAATGAAGAGCTCTTGCAAGAATGTTTTTCACTCAATTATTGCTTGTTAGCAGAATAATATTGATCTGATTGTTTTTATTTAGCATCAAACATACATATTGCAAAAATTAAAAGTTGCTGCAGGCTCAGTTCCAGCTTGCCAGGTGTTGTAATAACCAAGTGATAATGGCTGCTCCTGTAGAGACTCATTTGAGTCTCTACTTGGGGCATTTATAATCACTGTTTTTGGATCACGTCTATGTTGTGCAAGTATGACCATGCACTTATCCATAAAGGTGGAAATTCCCACAACTTTCAAGCTCAGGATGGCAGAAACTGATTTCTGTGGTTTACCTTACAGTCTCCTCACTCTGCTACCACTTTTTTCTCACATCCATGTTGGTTTGGGATATTTTTAATCATCTCTGTTTGCTCCAAAGTAAACTCCATAGGATATCTGTTTTGTCCTTCCACTCTGCCAATGCTGCAATCCCAACTCTGTCTCTTCCAATTTCTAGACAGAACATCCAAAATACAAAAACCTGCCTCCCACTGTGGTACTGCCAGCAGTGCTTGTGGTGCTTTTTGTGAGCACCATCGTCCTGGACAGGAAATATTAACTCAGCAAGACACTGATTTATATTGTTATGCTGCCTTCCAGCCACCACAGATATGTTTAAATCGTTGATGAAGAATAATTGCTATCAGTAATAAACTTCCTGTCCAGCCCACTTCATTATCTTCACATATTCTGATAGCAGCAATTCACAATTCCATTGCTTTTCTCACAGCCAGAGAGGCACAACATAGAGCTTGAACAGAAGCTCAGGAGCCCGTACCTGTAGAGGATGTTCCAGTGCTCTGCATACACCATTCTCCTGCTCACATTGTTGGAGCATCTTCTTCCAGTGGTGATCCAGCCTCCGCTGCCCCTCTTACCCAAGGCAGACACGAGCCTGAGATCACTCCCTAAAAAATATAGATAGGTGCACACTGAGCCCTCAGCACTGGCTGCTCTGCTCCTGCAGATTCGCTCCTACTGCTTGCTAGCACAGGCATAGCCTTAGTCCTGGAAATACAGGGAAAATATACAAGAGCTCTGTTTTTCAAATGTATGTTCCCTTTTTGTCAGAAGAGCCTTTTTAGCTCTGAAAACTTCTCCTTGTTTAAAAGGCAGGGGCTAATTATTATCATTTTTTGTATGTTTGTTCTGAAAGGGGATTTAATGGGACTCATAGACACACTACGGAAAGAACTGATAAGGGAAAAAAAAATACAGGCAGAAAAACAGCGTTCAGTTCTGAATAAACAACCCTAGCCAGAGAAAGCTTGTGCAAAAGGAGAGAAAAAAACAGTATTTCAGTGCAGGTCCAAAGCAGGAGCTGCACCAGAGAGCAGGAATGTAACCACAAATGAAATCCGTTCATATGTACTTGACCTTTACTGGGTATTATTAACCAAGAAGCAAAAGAACCTGGATAAATGCTAGGTCCAGTTTGTTCATTTTCCGTGCTAGCAGTGGTTGTAAGTCAGTAAAGCCATCCCCTCAGAGCAAGTTTATTCCTTACATGGCTCTACTGCATCTCTTCTCCCAAGCAGGCAATAATATTTACACTGAGGGGCTCCCCAGGGAGATTCATGCAAATCTACTTGTCCAAGAGAAACTCTCCAATGGTGCCTGAAATGAAGCATTGGAGATGAAGGCTTTGTGGCTCCCTCCTCTCAGACTCCAGCAAAATTGCTCCTAGGTACACCTCACTCTGAAGCAAGTAGCAAATGTAAGAGAAGTGCAAAACATCTGTCATCAGACTCAACAACACGGGAAGAGATTTGCTCTGCATGTCCTAGAGCAGAGATAATATCCCAACTGGTGTGCTCCCTGCTGAAAACTTATAACACTTCTGATAAGCAAAACAGTGATGGGATTTCTGCTCACTTGATGTCTTCCTTTCCCAGGGTCACTGTGCTCAGTTATCCCCAACCACCTGGCCACGTTTCACAGCCTCGTTACAAGGGCAGTTGTGTTATTTCTTAGTGCCACCAAGTGGAGAAATTCAACACTACCATTTTCGATCATCACTCGACCAATCAACTCTGGTGCCTGCAGAAGAGCAAAAAAGTCAATCAGACTAAGGTTTTACAAATTAAAATAAAAATTAATGTTATCTATTTCGATACTAAATAGGAAACAATCTCACAACAGAGCAAACCTTTAAATATGTATAAATCAGTAAGGCTCTATTCAGAGTGACAAGAAGTATATGCTAAAAACTAAGGAAAGGAGAAAGAGGGCTTAACCTCATAATTAAATTTAAGACTATCTGATTTCAATGTCTTGCTCAACAGGCATGGTTTGCTGAGCTGGAGCCAACGATACTGGTAATTAATTCAGAATTACTGAGTTGAAGCTGAGATTTCCAATAGGTTGATGCCTTTCCATTGTAATTTAATGGGAGGAAAAATACTCACCGCTTCCTGCTACAATGTAATTGTGAAAAAGTTCAATTCAGTTCTTTATTAAACCGTGGCAGCAGTATCATGAGTCAATCACTGAACTCTTTTTGTAAGCATATGAACTTTACCAGGCAGCAGGAAAATCAACAAGGGAAATGTTAGATAGCAACAGTATTATGTATCCATCTGAATCAGGTATTTTCACTTTTTCAGATTTACGTTAACTTTGCCTGTAAATAGAGAGACAGTGGTACTGATCATAGGGTCACATCAAATATAATTTTCCATTAGATCTACGAAGAAATAAACACAGATGTGTTTCTGGAACAGGAATTTACATCTGGCTGACTGGATATTAGGAAGAATTTCTTTTCTAGTCTTTTCCAGTCTTAATGATTCCATGATTCTACTCTGCAGATGAGACTGCCTGGAGTATAAAATAGTTGCATGCATTCTAAAAAAAAAAAAAAATAAAAAAATAATAAAAAAAAAAAAGTTAGCTTTTTAGTGCAAATGCATTACATCTATCCAGATAAATGAAAATGTTATAAGGATCACAGGATGAATTTACTAATGCAAATACGGCAGTGAAGTCTTTGTCCATTGGATGTGCCTAAGCAAACTTTGGAAAACTTCTGAATAATCAGAATAAACTTCTTTGAGCAAGAGAGAGCTATGCAACTGGGCCATCTATAGCTGGAGTAAGGGCTGGATGTGGCGGTGCACATAGGTGGCTCAGAGAAAAAAAATGGCTTTTGCTCATTTCAGAGCAATCCAGGTAACAGTTTTTTCTCAAAGACATTCTTCCTGTAAAGTGTTGGAAAACTGCATGTTCATTCTGTTTATTCAGAGAGCAGCTCATCATTTACAAATAGTGGTATAAAATGAAAGCTAAATATAGGTCAAATATCTTCCTGTACATATCAGTAAAATGCACATCTTATGCAGACCACACAGGAGCATCACCTAAGGGTCAATTACCACACACAGGGAAGCCCAAGCACTTCACATGGCTCCTGATGTGAGGGGCATCCCAGGCTTTGAGTGCTTTGGCTGTGACTAGCAAATACATCAGTAGGGAATAGTTGCCTTGGCTGCCCCAAAGATCAGCAATGGGTGCTTCCCTGCAGCTTCCCTTGGGTTTCTAGGACATTTCTCTTAGTCCTTTGGGACTATGCATGACTAATTCCCAGTGGATCCCACAGCTGCACTGCCGAGCTCAGGCACTGCACAAGCATCAGCACTAAAGATCCCTGTGCTGGATGTAGCCTTTAAACAGCTAGACAGCATGCAGAGCAGCAAGCAGCTGAGCCATCCCAACTGACAGGCCTCATCAATGCCACCATTTTTATTAGGCTAGGCTTGAAGAGTGTTTAGACATTTGTTATTAAGAAATTAAACCTTAGAGATTAATGTGAAAACATAGTAAAGACATAATCTTGGGAGAAATAAATAAGATATTTGAGTTTAAGAAAGAACACATTAACATTAGAAGCAGCTCATTATATTCTCTAGGAATTTAGTCAAGAATTGCATGAGTAATCCTGTGTTTACATACTTGGTCTAGTGTTAGATATTTTCCAATAAATTGCCAGTAGGAACAAGCCTTCCCAGCTTTGCAGCAATGAAACATAGCAGATGGAGAACGTATCTTCCTCTGCCTGTTATTCCAGTAGTGACACAAGAAATAAACAAAATCCTGTGCGCAGACCGCAGAAGGGTTAAAGAGATGCTGAAATAAAGTAAAAAAGAAACTGTCAAGTCCTCAATAACCTGCAAGGAACTCATCTATCCAGTATTCAATTCATTCTAGATGAAAAGATACATTGTAATTACATAGCAGCCTTACACATTTCCAAACAGGTATCTTCCTGCCCTCTTCCTCCAGCATCCATCATAAACCTCTATAAACTCTTCAGACTTATCCTGCGGAAATTTTCCAACTGAAGTGCAATCTATTCAGCTAAATGTCTGTTAACCTGACAGCTCCTTCCAATTAGTCCTTCCTATTTAAACACATGCCTTGTCTGCTACCGCAGGAACATTCAATTAAGATGAAGAAAAAAAGTGCAGTAGACAAGTTTGACACTAATATAAATAAATGAGTGTATTTTCTTCATGCGCAAAGATATCACAGTTCAGATTTCTATTGAGCTTTCACCTCAAGGGGATTTAAGTACAGAAATCTTGCACAATGCCTGTTTAGAGTAAGCAAAGGAAGAGTGGCACTAAGAAAAAGCAAAAATATCTTCAAACACCATGCAAATTCATGCAGATCAGTAGGATAATGAAATTAAGAGTGATTTAAATGCCACTCTAACTGCATTTCTTATACTGATACTGGTGTAAAAATAGACAACTAATTTGATAACATTCTTCCTCAGAAACACAAAGCTACAAGTGGTCTTCTGCAAAGTCAGAGATGTAGCCTGCTCTCCTTCCTTCCCAGGAGCACTTTGCATCACCAGTCCAGGTCTTTGCAAAATGATGAAATGACTTTTGTACATGAAGATCAATTAAAATAGATTCTTCTTGGCCATTTAGCATGAGTACTGCTGTCTTTCATTTCTCTCCATCCCAGTCACTCACTCTTTTCTAAAGGCATCAGCCAACTTCTCTCTCAGGCAGCCCAAGAGACAACCCAGTCACTCTGAACCTGCAGCAGTTTGCCCTCAGATAGCATTTGGATAGTCACAGAATCATAGAATTGTAGGGGTTGGAAGGGACCTGGAGAGATCACTGAGTTCAACTCCCTTGCTACAGCAGGTACCCTACAATCACCACCTCCATTTAAGATCTGGGAGAGGGCTTCTCTCAGTGGAAACTTATTTTTCGTTTAGTGAAATGATACAGTTGAGAGAAAAAAACCACATTTTTCTCGCAACCTTTAAGATGTCTAAAATCTGAGACACTGTGCCAAAGCACATAGAAATGTTATAAACCATACTTCTTTGTATGATAGACTGTCTGTAAGATTGTTTAATATTGCCATGATTTGTGTGTTAAAAATGCTTAGATTTCCTCTGCTGAAGTTTTGCTTCCCAGTGCAAAGCATTTGCTCCTCATCAAGAGCCATGGTTTACTAGCACGGAGTTCATCAGCAGAGGGGCCAGTTCCTCCAGCAGCACTAATTATAACCATTTCCAAGAAGGCTGGTTGTGGTTCCTGTTAATTAGGACCCAGTCCATGACAGATGCTCACAGATGTTCCTCAGGGATGAGACTTGTAACATAAATCATTATTCCTGTGATAGCAACGGGTGGCTGCGTGGACCTTAGCCCAGTAAACCACACTTCTACTTGAAGATCATCAGGAATATCCAGAACATTACAAGGTGGCCAGGTACTTCCACACTTTGCCATAAGAAGGCATGAATGGGACAGGAAAATACTGCCCATATGCAAGTGAAAGAAAATATCCTATTTTCTGTATATGTTACTGTATCCTAACCTAACATGCCAAAAGAAATTGAAGATACTAAGTCATGGATATATAGGCATCAGAAATAAGCATTTTAATAGTTTCAGAGCAAATCATGTGCATTCTGATTTAAATCAAGCTTTGGCCTGCTTTTTATAAACAAGCACACTGGTTGTGCTTTTTTGCCATATGCTTACTTAGCTAATTACATCAAAATCTACTTAAGCATTTATAAGGAAATGGACTGTGGACTGTTGAGCATCATGATAACACATAAAGCAAGATTTAAACTCTGTTCTGTTTATCCAGGCAAGTAACAGAAAACATCTTGAAAATGCCAAAGTCAGAATAAAATTTAATTGGCGCAAGAAAAAAATGCAGAAAAACCAGGGGCAAAGTGAGGTTCGTGAGCTCTCTATGAACTGAAATATGCTAACACAGTGTTTGGAAGAGTTTCCAACACATAAAAAAGGCAAAAATAATGACAAACAACTGCCCTTGAGTGTTAGGAAGCAAAAAAAGAATACCTGTATTCAGGGCTGCAATTCATGTCCTGAGTAATCTGCCTGGCTTTCAGCAAACATGGGAATTCAGCCAAGGAAATACATTTGACCTTCCTGTTAAGCCTGCAGATAATCTGATTTTCAGCCGGGTTTTGGCTCCCAACACACCTTAAGCTTTGGTGGTGCTTGAATAGCTGTTGTCCCTTCCCAACATCAAGGCCAGGAGATGAAAAGCTGAAGAAAAACACAATTTCCAGCTGTGACACAAACAGTTTGGTAGCACACATTAGCCGATATTAGGGAGGAAATTTTAACTCAGTCATTTACAACCATGAGAAAGTGCTGCTTGCCTCCTGTACTAGCCTTGACAAACAGACATGGGGCCTCTTAGTACATGAAAGTCATTGAAACCCTGAAGCGTGTTCAGCGAAGGGCAAAAGAAACTGGTGAGGGATCTGGAGCACAAGTGTTATGGGGAGCAGCTGAGGGAGCTGGGATTGTTTAGTCTGGAGGAGGATGCTGAGGGGTGGCCTTATTGATCTCTATAACTACCTGAAAGGAGGCTGTGGCGAAGCGCACATTGCCCTCTTCTCCCAGGTAATAGTGATAGGATGAGTGAGAATGGCCTTAATTTTCACCAGGGGAGATTCAGGTTGGATGTTAGGAAGATTGAGAAGTAGACAAATCAGCCTATCTCACAATTCACACAGAATTTTTACCTAGGGTAGTAGAAGAAAGAAGGGGTTTCTTTTGGCTTACTGTGCTTGCTTGAACAGCTCTCCCAACATAGTCACACCTGTGTATGCATGAAGTTGCACCGGATGCATTTTATAGAAAACCTAAACTCTCACATTTGTGCTTTTTTTCTAGCTGAGCTTTGCTGTCCAGGCACCTGCACATATAGAAGCAGCTTAAATTGCATTTTTCTTCATGTCATTTAAATAGTTCAGGAACTCTGAACAAAGAGACCGAATATTAAGTAATTTAAAGGTTTCTCAAGAATCCCTGAGAGAGAATCACAGGATACTGCTTGCAATTGAAGTGGAACTGGCTCTTCTCCTTTGTCAAACTCAGAGGACGTAGCATGCGAGAACAAAACAACATAACAACACTTTCCTTGAAAATGTTCTTCTTTCCGTCCACATGTACAAACAGGAAGACCACGTCTTGTATTATAAAATGTTTTTCCATACTTCTCCTTCTATACTACTCACATATGAGACACTCCATGTTGTAGAGGTTTCTATAGCAACAAAATATATTTTTTTTTTTTTTACAATAGTAGCTGTTCTTTCCCCAGGTATATCAGCAGGTCATAGTTTAGCCTTTGAAATTAAGCTTCTTGTCTTTATGGAGCTGCATATCCAGAGTGTGAAACTGTATTTTCCACTTAGTTTTCATGAGTAAATAATGATGCCTTGACTCCAATTAGCAAACAGAGAAATCAGTACAGGAATTTTAGTCGCAGAGAGCAAATTACTGTGTCTGAGTGCTTCATAAGATTTGAAGTATGCATCCACATATGCCTTTCCTACCCTTAGGAATTTATTACTCTCATTTCACAGCAGACAGGGAGAAGCACATAGAGGGTAAGTGCCCTGCTACAATCATACAAAAGGGCTGCGGCTGAGTGGACCGTGAGATGAAGTGGTGCAATCATGAGGCTTTTGCCCTCTCTGCCATACCATTTTTGTAAACATCACTGAGGTGGAAAGGATTGTTTGTGTTCATCTTGATCCAAACTATGCTGAAGTTCAAATGAACTTCCTTTCCTCCTCCTTCACGTCATTGCCCCTTTAGCACCCAGGGCCTCAATCCTAAGCATCAAGTTTTTTTCTTCAACATTCATTTTAGACAGTCCCATCAATGCAATCCCATCCTCATCTCTGCTGTCATCACAGCTTAGTTCTTTATTCTTTCATACTTCCTCAGACTCACTTCTCCAGTCAAGTTTGTTTTCTTTCCATTTCCACCTTCCAAAGATTTTCTGAGCAATTTCTTTCGCTAAGATTTTACTAACCAGCAAGGCTTTTTTCCATCTTTCACCTCAAATTGTTATTTTGTCCTGATTCACACAGTCTCCTTTTAGGACAAAGAGCATTTCAAGTTGCATTTGATAACAGCAACACACGTTTATGCCACTGGAACAATGCAAAAGCATATAGGATACAAATACCATCATTCTTGTTTGGGAGGATGAGTTAAGAAGACAGTAATCTCACAACTCAAAAAGACTATTCTTCTTCTTCCATTAATTTATTGTGCATTTGGGCTATTATTCAAACTAAGATTTTTGCTTGTAAAATAATGCATTCTTTCTATCAAATCAATCCCTAGGAAGCAAGTGGCCCAATTTACGTTTGTTCTACAGTGCTGGCTTTCCAGAGCCTGGAAAAAGATAGAGACTAGGCCCAATATCTAACATGAAATGCAAGCAAAGCTGGTCCAGCAGGGAAGAGGAAGGTGTCCCCAGCCTGAGAACAGTGGCAAATTAATTGTCCTGGAGAATATCCTACAGAAGGCACAACTCTGCTAGGCTCTACTTAGCCTAGTCCAGAGAACTGAAGCCACTATCTTGCTCCAGTTTTAACTGGCTCCTCTGTTTAAACGTACCTTTTCCCAAGCTGTGTAAAATGAGCAGAGGGGGCTTCAAGGTGACCTGCTTTGTACCATGCGGATTGTCTGGTTTTGAACAGTACCTCTCCAGGTTACAGTCTTCCAGCTGTGAAGAATATGGGTCTTAGTGAAGTGCTTTTTTGGCCTCCCAGAGACCTTACTGTGGTACTGTGGTCTCAGCAATACTGTGACTTCTTTTTTCCAGCGAAATTGTCACATCAAGGCACCAAGCAGACTCAGGCCAGTCACTGAATTTCAATACTCCTTGTCTTCCCTAAAAACCACAGCAAGATCAACCAAACACCCAGGAGAGGCAGGACAGATCTTGAAGTACGTGGATTCTATTTTATGGGCTATCAGAGCAGTTACTTTCACATTAACACTTTCACCGTGAATAACCACTCTAATTTAACTTGGTTGCTCTTCTGTAATTCAATGAGAGATCAGTTACTCAGCAGAACAAGGCACTGGAGCAGCAAGTAAATAAAGCAGACAGGTTCTGCTTCTGTCACGTTACTTCTGTTTTGTCAAGCTGAATATGTCACTAGGGAGCAAGGATTACTTTAATTACCAACTGCTTTAATTTCAAATAGTTATGGAAAATTGTGGATCACGTTAATTTACTTTGGCAGCATGACAATGGGATTGCTTGCAACACTTGCTGGTGGCACTGGGAGGATGGTGGGGGAGGGAGGGAGGTGGAAGGAAGGCATTTTCACGCATTTCAGTTTCAGAGGGGGTGTCGCCATTCAAAAGAAAGTACGTGACAGCTTTCAAAATGCTGTTAAGCTGGAAATGAGATGCATTTGCTGAGGTAGTCTATCAGAATTTCTACACTAACTATAAGCAATCCAGAAATGTTCATTATCTTCCATTTCATCAGTTTGAAACTGAAGCAGCTGGTGGGAAAGGTTTGTTACTTTGACTTCTGCCTTTCCATATATCATTTTGACTTTTCAAAAGTCTCTGTGGCTTAACTTGGAAAGCATGTCCAGCCCTAACCCAGACACCTGGGAATACGATGGAGAGGTATAACTAGAAATGCAGTGATTATAGTCCTGTTAAGACTTCAGAGTTTGATACCCTCCCCAAGACAAGATATTGAGTCTGGATGTGACCCAGTACACCATGCACCATGCTGTGCTACATATCTGTCTTTCCCTCCATCTCTCTTTTAAGATCAGGGAAACTTGTAAACACAAATAGTTTTAAGCACCTTTTCTTTGGTAGCAGAACTTCGTGCCTCCTGTGTACTCTTTGCTGCCTAAAGTTAAACACTAATTGTTTCATCTCCACCATATTGAAAAACAAAATAAATTACAGTTTTGATTTTTAAAAAAAATTTAAGCTCCACAGTTCTCAGCAATCCAATCTCTAGTTCAGACTTACGGGCAGCTGAATCAGCTCAAGGGGGAAATCTATGAAGAAATGATGGAGGATCAAAAATTCTTAACTGCATTTCTGTACTCAAGATAATGCATGAAGAGCTGCATCATACCCACAAAATGCAAGTAGTATCACTTGAGATTACAGAGTTTTCATTGCCTTTTTTGATTGACACAAGTAATATTTATCTAGGCTAAAAAACTCAAACAAGTCACTAATAAGGGAGTTTCTTATATTTTGGACCTTAAAGAGATAATATAAGTGCAAATTTCACCCTTATACTTCCTTTGAGTTAATGGATATTTCCAACTAATTCAAACATACACTGAAATTCCTGGTGATTGAGGGAATATCAACCATGGGAATATATGAAGTCTTGTGTTAATAGCTGTCCTAGGACTTTTGTCACGACACCTCAGATAAGATTAGGACACTGACAGCCCTATCCCTCTACCTGTGTAACAGAAGCACCCTTCTGCTCACCCAGAGTTCAGTAGGATCTAGAAAAGACACTACTGTCTCCAATTCAGACCTCAAAAACAATGAGTTACACAAGTGGTAAAAGGAATCACCAGTATCATTAGCTGGGATCAAGGTTACCCTGATCACAGGGTGGGCAAACAATGCTCCTGAGTGCTGCAGTGAAACAGGACAAAAAGAGGAAGACACAGGACTTTCTTTTAGGGTAACAAGGTCAGCCTTTACACTCAATTCAAGTAAGCTTGCCTTATTCTTCCAGTTTCTTTTCTAGATGCCTGCATATCATTTTCACTTTCTTCAGAGGATTACATGTCTTGGGGACAATAGCTGAGTTTGCTGAGTGAACACAGAGCAGTTAGAGCAGTGGTGTAGACAGCCTCCCACTGCAAAGAAGGGGACAGCTTGCAAGCTGCCCCACTGCCAACTCTGATGCAACCTGAGTGAAGCCATGGTGGTTTCAGTGCTTCGGCAGATGGTATGTAGTTGGTTGTGCATTCCTAGTCCTTTCCTTAGGGAGAGGAAAAGTATTATGTGAAATCTCTGGAAGGAATAGGGGTGATTCTCCTCTGAGAGGCAATCAAGCTGCATAGAGAAAGACCTGAGAGTGCCATAGAGGTGGGAACAGCAAGGCAGTGGAAGGGGAGACTTTAGCAAAGAAGTCGCTGACAAGGAGCAGAGTTGAGAGGTCACCTTAGAGGTCATGGAGATCACCTTCCTATGGACCTAGAAGAATATATAGAGTTTACTGCAACACAAAAACCTACTGAGTTGGCTGAAATCAAATAAGGGGTCAGCCCTCCAAAAGGCAAAGAGGCTATGAATCTTTTATTTCGGTTACCTCTTCCCCAGTCAAGAGAATATTCTATAAAATGTTAACAGTCATGCCTTGTTTTCTAATAGCATGTGGCTTTTTAAAGTTTGAAACCCTATTGGCCTTTTAGGGATGCTCACAGCACAGTGCAAATTCCTATATAGCGTGCTGGCCAACTGCTCCCTGATCTGCTCAAAACTGAACCCTTCAAGTGAATTGTGTTGTTAATATACATTGAATGCTGGCTTCACAGCATCTGAGTGCTTCAGTAAGGCAGAGCCTCCTGCCTCCCTGAGAGGGGGCACTTCATAGGATGATCCCTGGATACCAGATCAGCACAGCAGGGACTGCAAGGGGTACCGCCTTTGTGAGGACCAGGTCTACCTGTGCTCTGTTTGTCCCCGGAAAGGAGTTGAAGCAATGGTGTGCCTCTTACACTCTTGCTGCCAGCTGGCCCTGTTTTAGTACAGAGACCATTGCATTTTTAAAGTGTACCAAAAAAAAAAAAAAAAAAAAAAAAAAAAAAAAAAAAAAAAAGGCGTTTTATCTCATAATGCCTTCAAAACTTTTCATTTCTGAATGGGCACTATGGCATTTACATCAGCTCCACTGTTATGGAAAAGTTTGCCTGTTGGCTGGTTTCTTTTTTCTAGTTTTTAAACTGCTACTGTAAGGACAAAGATCATGTTTGGTTTTCATGGTTTTTGTTTGTTTGTTTTGAAAGCAGAAATAAATATAAGATCAGGAGTATCTTAGAAGTGATAAAAAAATGCATTTCAGAAAACACATTTACATTTCAAGGTACCACTCTGTAGAGGAAAAGTTACCCTGAGATTTCAAAACCAGAGGCCATGTGAGTTTAATAATAGCAAGTGACAGAAGCACAAGCCATAGGTATCTTAATATTTTCTGTTTAGTTTCTGAAACAGCTTTCAAGTCTGGCTACTCCTTTATTTCAATTCCTCAGGATAGCTTTGGCAGTCATGAATGTAAACTGAACTCTAAATTCCAAGGAAACTAGTTGGAATTGGTAACCTAAAACAGTACTCTCGCTACATACAAGAGTAGTTTGGCAGGAAATGTTATGTCTCATACTCTATTCTCTACATGTGTTATTCTCTACATCTATTGTCTTCTGAAGATTTTTCAAGATTATGTCAACCAGAAACACATCTCTAGAAAGCAATTATCTTTTAATAAGCACTGCAATATCTAAGCAATGTTCATTTTACATCTTTTTTTACCCGAGCATCCAGATGCTCTTGCAAATAACAGCCCTAGAAATAATTCAATTTCAAGGATGCCTTTTTATACTGATTGCCAGATACCACAGGGAAAACTGGATAACAAACAGGCTAAACAGCTGCGTGTATTTAATCCAAGAGCAGCTTTTTTTAGCACTGCTTTATGCTAATTTAATAATACATTATAAAAGCTAGCTTAGAAGGTTGACATCTCAGTATTGTCAAGTAGCCACACTTGTACTGAGATCTCTTGAAAATAAGTCAGCAGCTTGAAACACAAACCTGTACTGTGCACTGTGTCCCCAGCATCATCTGCTAAGATGAACAGCAGCTGTAAGAGCACTGCACTGGCCTAATGGGACAGCCCCCTCAGGCAGCTGGCTGGCAACAGGAGCTTCTCCATCCCTGGCTGTGCTTGTCCCCATCTTGGAGACTGTGGCTTGGCACCATACATTCAAACTGTTCGTTCAGCCCTTCTTGTTTAGTCAACATACAGCTCTACAGACATAGGTCCAGTTCAGAACAGTTTCTGTGACACAAAGCTGTGGTGGTGTTCTCTCTCTGCCCCAAGCTTCCGCCTTCAGCCTGGCTGTTATTCCCAAGGCCTTGGGTACAGACAGATAGTGACATCCCAAAGACCTTGCTCAGGACTTTCACAATATTGTCTCAAACTCAGTGCTCAAGGAACTGATAGCAGACACTCAGTTCAAGAGGTGCCAATTGAGCCCATGCTTAAATACTGTATCAGCTAATCATCTTATCCAATGAACAGTGACTAGCTAAGAGCTGTCTGCTGTACGGTAGCTGGCTACAAGACAGGTTCTCCTCTTGAGGAGGACATCTCTTGATGTTACACCTGCACCAAAATTCTCATACATCTTGGTGTCAGGATGCCTTGCTGATACAGATTCTTAGCTGACATAGTTTTAAGCTTTGTTAAGATTCAGTCGAAGATTGACTGTGCAAATGTAATTCCTCAGACATATAAGAATTCATCAAGTTTGGGACTAGGAGTGAATTCAGCTGCACCTACGTTGCTTACAGCTCTGTGGTTCACGGAGTTTAGAAAGCAAGGGGGTCCAACTGAACCTTATGATTCAATAGGAAGGTGTCCTGGATTAGTGCACTTATGCTGTAAATAATGAAACGCCCATTACCATTTTGAATCTTAAACTGCTGTCGTACTCATGACTAAGCTTTGCTAATGAATTATATCAATATATTCCTGCTTCTCTCTTACAAGTAAAGCGTATAGTATAGTTGAATCCATGCGACAAAAGCCCAGCAAGAGAGATCCTCTCTGGAAAAGCCCCCTTCCCAGGTATCAGTAGCATCACCTCCCGATTCAGAATAGATTTGGTATTTGAGACTTGCTTTGAGACTATATTTCATCACATATTCATAGTAAACTGCCTGACTCACCTCAGCACTAAAACGCCCATGTGCTAATGCTACTCTGAGAATTCATTTAAGGAATAAGAGCAATTCTAAAGCTTTCTAAATAGCCCTGGACATTATGGCCTGTTTGCCCAGAAGTACCTAAAGAAAATCTGATCAATGCAATGAAACAGTATTTCTTATCCCCTAAATACTGATAAACCACATAAACCCCTGAAGTCACAATACCAACAGCACATTTCAAAGCATTTCATGCATTCTTATGCATGGTGAAATTTGGTGAGAGCATAGATACTTTGGAAATGTGTACTGGGGCGATAGCCAGCAGCAGCTTTGTAAAGATAGGGCACTACATTATTCATGGAAAAAGTTATTCTCACCAATTCAAGTGTCCATAGCTATTTTTGGCACTCAGTAGTGGCATCAGCACAATAAATTTCCTGTTTGCAGCTTTCAGAACACAGTATGAGACCCATTTCTTCCCTAAGACAGTACCCTAATGGATCTGTAAGGTCATGCAGACTTCTCTTGAGTTCTGATCCTTTCTAAGCAGGAGCCTTTGAAAGAGAACAGAATTATTCACGTTACCCTCGCACACGCTCTGCTGTACAGTGCCTCTGGCTCATACAGAGATTTGCAGAGTGAGCCACACCATCTTCTGCAGCAAATATGCCCAGATCCCCTGTCCTCATGCACAGAGCTTAACTATCTCCTGTAGAGAAATGTATCTTAAAAGCTGAGAACCAAAGTGAAATGAGTGGGTAAATTAAGAGCAGTTTTCCTCCACACAAGAAAATCCATGGAAGGGGATACTACAGAATTTCCAGTAGTCCAGCAACCTTGGAAGGAGTGGGGGATGTCATCATTTGCATGGAATCAGACAACATTTGTTGTACTTATCCTATGGTGTTTGGGGCCATCTGAATTCCAGGAAGCCAAACGACCAACTTGTGTGGGAGTAGGATGAGCAAATCCAATGAAAAATGAGAGAGATCTATGAATTGTCAGTCTAGAGACAAGCAAAAGTTTTGGGAATGTCCTTTGTTCAGCCCTGTATTTTTTCAGTGCAGTTAGCAGACTAGGAACAATAAGCATCACTCTGACTCTTGTTTCATGATAGTATTTCAGTGGTTCTTTAAATTGGAATTGCCTTTCACATAATTATTCTGCCTTTTTGTCAGCCTATGCTTCTAATACTGATTCAAATTAAAAAAAAAAATCAAATGGAAATTGATTCAGCATTTAATGAGAAATTATTGCTGCAAGTACAAATGCAATAAACTATTCATAGTAATAAATATAGTTTTAAAGGCTTTACCACATGATCTTGGCAAGGCATGTGATTTCAAGGACTAACTTTCCAAGCAGTTCAATTGTCAACCATTGACTCAGAGGATGGAGGAAGGATTTCGTCTCTTGGGTAGGGAAACCTCATAGAACCAGTTAGATCTCCTGTTAGAAGCAGACTATTTTCTTCTAATTGCAGATTTTTTAGTAGAGCAGATCTCTGCAGGTCCATGATTTATGTTGAGATGATGAGCTTCAGCTCATTGCAGTCATGAAAAAATTAAAGGGATTATTCACTGATTCAGGAAGCATCCATCTAATAGCTGCTTATTAAACCAAATGAATCTCTTTTATAGGACAAACGTTAGTCCTTGACCCCTTAATTATGTGTGAATAACCCTGCTTACTCTTCAGGAGATGTACCAAAAGAATGAGCTATCCTAAGCATAATGGCTAACATCAGTCTAAGGCAAAGAATTAAGCACCAAGAACATTGTTTCTTTCTTCACATGTAAAAAATGGAAAAGTGACAGGTGAGAAAGTTAAATAATGATATAACAGGCTTGCGTTTCCTTTTAAAGGTATCTATAAACAATATATTATAAATGTCCATGACAAATTTTTTTTTATTCATTAAACTCTACCTATTATTACAGTAATTCATGGAGTCTCAAATACTGGCCGAGAGTATTTAATACCCTGCAAGTCTTTAACAGCTCATCCCAGAAATCTAACTACACATGACGTAAGGTAATTCGAAGGCAAACAAAGGAGACTTTGTCAAAGTACAGAAACAGTGAGGAAGTGTTAGAAAGGCATGGTGAGGACAAAGGTACGAGACTTCATCATTTAAGTTTTGATGTTAGTTACAAGGCTAATATCCAGCACTGCAATGACAAAGAGCAATTGTATGGATAAAGAGAACGAATGCTATTTTCACAACAGTTACAGCACACATCATTCCTAGCTCTTCAAATGCCTTCTGGAGGAAAGTTCCTATTTTCTACTTATAGAAACTGTACCTGATGACAGCACTTTCCCTAAGACCAGCTTGCAGCAGAACTGGAAGGACAAAAAAGAATCTCAGAATCTCACGTATCCAGGGAGTCCACAAAGTCTTCCACTAGCTATCACGTTAAATGATGAAAAAGGCAAAATACTTAAAAATGAAAAGAGCTACGAAAATTGGAGAAAGCCCTGAAGAAGATGGGAAAGTTTTGGGGCTCATTTTATCCAAAACCACAGAATGGTATCTGGTTCTCCTTGAAATACAACTACAACTGAAAGAAATGCTACTTTCAAACTTATCAATTCATCTGCTTATCTCACAACTGGCTTTTGCCCTTCATCTCGCCCCCTGGAAAAATGGTCTGCCTTGGAATTGCTTTCCAGAACTTGGCATGGCATTTCTGATGTTTAAGAAGAGAGTTGAGGATGTTTTGAATGAAGGTTGGGAAGCTGAGCCAAAGCCTGCCAACAAGCCAGGAGTTTTTGCTTGTATAAGAAAAAACAAAAACCAGGTTTGGCAAATAATTGTGCCTAGTTGCTGCACCCTACAGCAGGATCTATTGCTAACACTGAACTGAAGCAGACTTTCATGAGATGAAATAACCTCCCCTTCCTCAAACTATTAGGCTGTCTTGGCCAGCAGCAGTCACTACTTCTCCAGAGCCAAGAAAGTAAAACTGCTAGCAAGAGAACCTGAACTAGCAAAGGACTTGAGAGTCTGGCTGGGATATCGTCTCCTGAATAATTGAATAAAGAGTCATACTGACACTATCTGCCTATGTTTTAAGACTAATATTTCAAATATTCCAAGAGACGAAGCTGAGGCTCAATTTCCTTACACTGTTTTCCCCTCTTTCCCTTTAACTCTTGCTCCATAAATAGATTCTATTTCTGGTCCTTATGTAATCCACAGTGAAAAGTACTCAAGAAGACAAATAGTAGTGAATGGGCAAGGGGCTAAGGAACGATTCTGGGCCAGGATTTTTTTCTGAATATTAGTGAACATCAGGTACATATTGGTCCTTTATTTTCGTATGTTACTGCCAAGCATCCCCTTGGTTTCCAAACAAATGCTTTCACATTTGTTCATAGTTTCTGGCACATATGCCAGGTCTACTTAAAGGGCTTCCCAGGTTTGTATTCCAGTTGTTGTAGTACAACAGATATTTTCCAGACAAACTTGTGCTATTCCTCTGTATAATCAATGAATATTAAGATCTTGTAATTACAAAATAAACAAGAGAGTTAGGCAAAGCAGATTATGATAACAAAAAGAGAATAGATAGAAAGTAGATAGAAAGCTTACCAGTATCCTAGGCCATACCCTAGGCTCACTTACAAAACTCCAGCAGAGTGGATTTCCCAAAGAAATCCTTTCCCACTGCCAGTCAGCTCTTAAATGGGTCTAGGAGAGACGGAGCCAGGCTCCACCTCTTCCAGCAGTACAGGTGAATTGCCTTCACCTGTGCTCCTATGGCTGACTCATTGCTCACCTCAGGTGATCAATCAGAGGTTCAGGCTGTGACTCAGCACTTCCCATACATCCTCTAACAATACAGTCATTACTTTTTAGTGTGGTGCACCCTTTGAAGCCTCAACTGTTCTTCCTGTAACCCAAACTGATGCATGTCAAAACTCAAAAAATATGAAATATGTAAAAGCTTCTAGCTACTCTGTCTGACTTCTGAAGAAAACCTGATTAAATCCTACCAGACACACACTTACTCTTAAGTTGCATTAATGGAAGCTTGGAGGCCACAGCCAAGAATAGGGAATGAGCACACAAACTCAGAAATGACTTGCAACATGGAGATTTTCAGCGGAACATCTACAGATTGTTCCTCATCTTCTCATAAGATCCTTGATGTTGCTCTCTGACATTCTTTAATCTGAGTTTTGGACAAACATTTGCAACCATTTAGAAATCAGCAATTATGATTAAAGCATGAGGAAGTGCCAGGACACCCCAGCAACAGCTTTTTCCTTACAGTAGGTAAGAACTGTGATAAATATTTCATTCCATTTGATTAATAATTTCTACATTTTTTTAAGAGACATACTGACTAATATATTGCCTTAGGTAACTGTAATGGTAACTTCCCTTAAATTTTCAGTCTAGTTTATAAGCATAAGGAAATGAAAGAGCAATGCAAGAAGCTATAGCCAGAATCGAACTAATGTATTTGTCAGACCATACTAGATGTCAATATCCAGAAATAGTCCTATACACATATGCACTGAAGTGAGAGGTTGTCAAAACAGAAAAGAAAATCTGGTTCTGCTGAATTCATAGATTTACGATATACTCAGCATAGCTCTTGAATAATTTCAGATCTGGAGCAGGTCCAGAGAAGGTCACAAAGTGAAAAAATGCTCAGAGGGCTGGAACATCTAAAGACAGATATTAGAAGGAACTTTTATACTCAGAGGGTGGTGAGGCACTGGCACGGGCTGCCCAGAGAAGCTGTGGATGCCACACCCTTGGAGGTGCTCAAGGCCAGGTTGGATGGGGCAGCCTGAGCTGGTGGGGGACAGCCCTGTCCATGGCAGAGGGTTGGGACTGTGTGGGCTTTAAGGTCCTTTTCAACCCAAGCATGGGATTTACTCTAGCTAAATAAATGCAGCTACTTTGGATTCCTTTGAACTTTGAACAAGGGCCAAACAGATTAAATTTTATCTGTATTGAATTTACAGGGGAAGATAAACTCTATTTCATTGCAGGAGATAGATAGTGGTTTTTAAATCTCACCAGCCATGAAAATAGTATAACAAACAAATCTTTTTTGGATGGAATGCAGGGAGGAAACATAAGGAAACAACTAACTCTAAATTATAAGCATTGAAGATTAAATTCTTACCATGGCCCAAATAGTGGATAATTCCCAGTTTTAATAAAAAAAGTACTGGCAGGAGCCCTTGTGAATACAATTTCCTAAACTTAGTTTAATAATATTCTGGAGAGCAAAGGCAACAACTTTTTAATCACTAGAAATACCACTTGAAAGCCTGTCAGTTTCCATAGTTAAAAATTTGAGATGCATTTAAATATAACATGCAGTAGAAAAGAATAATTTTTTGACATGCTTGGGCAGAGTAGAACTATTAATAAAATAGAAAGAATTCCTAAATGGGTACATAGTAATAAAAAAATGCCAGGAGCCTTAGCTCCTTAGCACCTTAGAAGTCTGGTTATTTTTCCCATAGTTAAAGTCCATGTTGTTCAGAGAATAGATTGGTCTGCTCTGTTGCCTAATTTACAAGTAAATAACATTTTATTTTTTTTTTCTTTTTCTTTTGTTTTCCCTTCCTCCCCCACTTCTACCCTTAAGGATAGTTGTCCTCACTCTTGGCTATGGATCAATTTGCATTGACATGATTAAGCAGTGTAGGTATAGTTTGGCACATAAACCTACATTTACAAAACAGTACCTGTGTATTGCTTGTGTAATACCTGTGGACAAAGCACCCATTTGGCCTAAGAGAAATTCTAAGATTAAGAAGCACTG